AACCCCACCGGACCCAGGAGAAGACGAACACGGAGCATGGGAATGAGCAGGAGAGGCGAGAGAATCATTAACCAGCAGATGACAGAACACTAATTACCCAGAGAGCTGTGTAACTTGTAGCCAGTCAACATGAATGTCTTTGTTTGCAGCGTGCACAGCCTCAGCAGGACACGGCTCAGCCCAAAGACAGCACCGGGACACTGAATTTGTTAAGCCTCAGCTCCAGCCTGGAGAAGCACATTTTATAATGCACTAGTAAATAAATCTGAGCTGTGTCTGAACTGACAATGTTTTCCAACACAAAAAACCGAGAGCACCTCTTGGAAAGTCAGAGTGGGGAAATCCAAACCAGCCCAACGTGTATCTAATAAAGAATATTTATTTTCTAATACTGCGTATTTGTTCTGCCTTTAAAAATCAAATACAAAGTCTCAGATATCATTAATCACGTGTTGCCTGCAAACCAAGTCCAAATACTAAATGTGAGTTTTCTTCATCAAGCCATTGACTAATTCATGGCAGGTGTTAAATGGCATTACCACACCGAGCACTTCAGGCAGAGCATTTACTCAGCAAGATTAAACACAGGTTCTTGCCTGACTGATTTCAGGTGTGCCAGGGCCTCATCACTTCACAGCCCGAAATTCCTTCCCAATATCCCATCTAATGCCGCCCCCTTGCAGTGGAAGCCATTCCCTGTGCCCTGTCCCTCCGTCCCCTGTCCCCAGTGCCTCTCCAGCTCGCGTTTTTAACTGATCCCACCTCGTTTTCCCCTTTTCCAGGCCCCCAGTGTGACGGGTGAGACTCATTGGCCGTTCCAGCTCCTCGCCACACCCAGACTGCTGTGCCAAGCCCGAGTGCTGCTTGCCCCCCTGCACATACTCACTGCGAATTTGGGAGCTGCTATTTCTGTCCCGTGGTGACCGTGTACCTAAAAAGGTTCGGTTTTCTCCAAAACGTTTTCAAGGGAAGCAGAAGATGGGCCTGGGCTGAAAATTCCCCCTGCTACACATCAACTGCCCGACATCAGCAGACCTTGTTTTCAGGGAAATGTGGCAGGAGTAAAACACCTCCCTAGGCAAATGCTGAGTTTAGCAATGACTGAGCTGCACAAAAGAGAGTTGTTTCTGACAGGGGCACACAGGAGCAGCTCAGTCAGAAAGAAACCACTTGGCGACCCTCAATGAACAGAGAAAAACTTAACTGCAAGGGCAGCAATCCCATGATTGGAAACACGGCACAGCATTCCTCATGGAAGAATCTGCATGGAGGAGGAAAGCTCAGAAGCCAAGTTCTATCCATACTGCAGACATTCCACTTGTTAAATTTTGTAAATAAAGCTTTTTTTCTCTTTGCAGTGCACGTTGAGGTATTTCTCCTCCGCACAAAAAAATGCTTTTGCTCCGGAGCAGTGCACGCCTGTACCTGAGAGACAGGAACCACAGGGGACATTCCAAGTGGGAAAGTGGGAAAAGGGGTTAAAAAAAAAAGAAATTAGGAAACTGTTCTTGGAAAAGTAGCACTAGACAGTGATCAGTACAAACCAGGCTGTCCAAACTGGGGGGAATTAGGTCTCGTTCTGTACTGGTGAAACACTTACTTTCCTGTCAGATTTCCCTGTAGCTTCCAGAAGATGTTCACTGCAACCCAGAAACTGTTGCCTTATTTTTGTCTTTGAAAACAGGAATGACAATGTAATAGTGAAGGTTTCTGGAATTTATGTAAGTGACTCAGATTGGTTGCCAACTCCATACACAGAAATAAGTATTCCTGCTCAGTACGAATTTTAGAGAGGACAGTCTGCTCCCCTAAGTGCAAAATATACATTAGCCCTCATAGTCCCTTGGAGCAGCTCTCCCAGGCCTCTGCATGCTTCAAAAACCGTAACAAATGCCTTCCCAGGTGTTTTCCAGCTGGTATTTCTGTCAGGCTGCAGCGAGGCTCATAGTGGGATCACATCCCCAGGACGTGCCTGTAGGATTATGCAAAAGAGGGAAATGCATTTGATGAATTATTGTCCAGCTCAGCCTCCCCTTTGAAAAAGGCTGTTCTCTGTGATCGCTGGTGCTGCGGGTGCAGTGGGCTGTGAAATCAGAGTTCTCTGGATAATGGCAAGCCTCAGCTTTCCCAGAGGTACTGCTGCTCATCCCATAGGACACACACGGGGCAGGCAAGAGCCCTGCCTTCCAGTCCTGTTTGTCATCATCTTATTCGATTAAAGTCTTGATTTCAATGTCAGTGCTAAGTTCAGAGAATCCCAGAATGGTTCCGACTGGGAGGGAGCTCAAAGCTGATCCAATTCCCTGGGCAGGGACACCTCCCACTGTCCCAGGCTGCTCCAAGCCCCAGTGTCCAGCCTGGCCTGGGCACTGCCAGGGATCCAGCCACAGCTGCTCTGGGCACCCTGTTTTAATGCCATCTCCGAAATAGACCTCGACATCAAGTGACTGCTGGTAATACTGTCAATTAGGAGAACGAGACTTATTAGGGCGCTAAAAGGGAAAAAAAAAATGGCACCATGGTGTCAGCAGCTTTCTCGGCTCAGGTTTTTAATTTGGCAGAAAATACTGAGGTTTTGCTAACTGCACTCTCGATTCTATCCAGACGTCCAGTGCACGTGGATGTCGTTTCTCAGCTTCTTTGCTGCCAACAGCCAAACTTCCAGATACTTGGGGTAAGAAAGAGACGGAAATTTTTTTTCCTGCCCTACCATGATTTTTTACTTTTTCCCTTTGACCCCTGGAAAGTCTGTGGCTCATTGGGTGGTTTAAAGCTGCAGGTTTAAAAATGAAGAAGTCTCATGAAGAGAGCCCTTGCATCCTTGCTTACCATGTGACTTTTATCAAGCAAGGTGAAGCCAAGACACCAACACTGAGTTTCTAAAGGTCTCCTGTTCTCAGAGATGACTCTCTAGACACACAGCTCTTTGGCGTTAGTGCTCGTGTAGCATCTAAAATTGAGCTTGTGCTGCCAAAGTTAAACAAACTTACTCTGAAATTCCGACCAAGAGAAGCTTTAAGTCCTGCTACGTGAAGCTTAACTGGAATCATTTCTAGCCTTCAGTTACCGAGAGCTTCCAAAAGTCACATGCAGCTCATGTCATCCTGATAAAATAAATCAAGGAATCAACATCCCAATCCAGTATTTGGAAACATACAGATTTCTTGAAATCTTTGTCATTCACTCTTTTCTTGATTGACCCATAATTAATCCATCTGTACAATCTACACTAGAATTTATTCTCAAGTTCCAAGAGAAATAAATCCACTTTACACAGAACACTGATGCTTTTGCAGACCTTCTCAAAATGGTCTTAGCCTAATAAAAAGAATTCCTCTCCTTTTTTAAAGGAACTTGATGCCTTTTTGCTAATCAAAAAGGGCCAACTTGCTGGTAACCAGTCATAGCACTGCTTATGGCAGACACATCTGGAAGTCTCTCCAGAACATACATTCAGTTCTGTGAGTGCAGATTAAATGAACTCCAGTAGCACATGCTCAGAATGACCCAACTCATTCAAACAGACACCAATCAAGGATATACCCACGTCAGGAAGATTTTTTTTTCCACTACGATATATCATCTAAGTTTTCATACTACCCGAAACTCCTCTCTCTCTACATAGTTAGTTACTTCAAATACACACTCATCTGGAACAAATTCTACATCTGCAGATCTCTGTAGCTCTCTCTTTGAGAGAGGCACAAACTCAAGAGAAACCTGTCATGAGAAAAAATACCGTTAGATGCCTAATGACGGAAATAACATCTCGTAACTTTTGCCAACTCTAAGTCCCAGTGGAATCCATCACCGCAGTTCTCTTCCTCTGTGTATCCTTTAGAAAGTGTGTCAGTGCAAGCAATTTCCTCCTCACTTCCAGCGCTGCTTCTCACATGTTGCACTTCGGCATGGTTGGGATATAAAGTGTCTCTATGACACAGTTCCAGGAGACGTGTAGCAAACAGTGTAAATGCCTAAAGATACAAGAAAGCAAATTTATTTTAGCAATGATCCAGAAATAAATAATAATAAATAAGAACAATTAGATCATCTCACAGATGTCCAGGTTTTCCTCCAAAACCCTGAAAAGCTGTCTTTACATTACCAAAGCAAATGAAAATCCTTAAGGGATGCGTTCTACCGTTGACAACTATACCTTTTCCAACTGGGGATTCTCCTGCTCATTTCTCAATGGAAGGAAAACAATATCAGAAACAAAAGAAAATCCAGATGCTTACAAAATCTGAGCAGCGTCAGGAATGACTGTCAAATGGTTGCTTAATTCTCTCAAGGAATTCTTTATCAAAAGTACAAGTGACAGAAAGTCTCTGAGCTTTTCAGACCAAAAAACCCACAAAGGTACTCTGAATAAAGTCTAAGGAGAATCAAACACCTGCACACTCCACAGGTTTGTATCAGCCACCTGGGCTTGATCCCATAGCCAGCAACAGAGGTGAAACTTGCAATCCATCTAATCCAGGCATATCCCACACTACCATACTACACCACCACAATAAAAACTGGGAGGAGGGAGGTTCAGCCTCTCTGGGAACAGTCATTGTGAGCAAACACGGCACTGCAGGAAACGCGTGAACATCTGCCTGCCGCTGGGAAGCACTGAATGAAGCCCGGGTTTTGCTGCTGCCTACGGCTTTCCTTCCCTTCCTAAACTGTCTTCAGCTCAGCCCACAAGTGCTTGTACTCTAACCTCGCTGATCTCTCCCCCAGCTCACTGGGGGGAGCAGGCGAGCACTGGGTGGTGTTGAGCAGCTGCCTGGGGTTAAATCACAGCAGCCAGTGAACAGAACTGCAGCTTACGGCAGCACCTCATTCCTCCAGCACCGTAATTCTTACTGGTCACCCGTTATGAAAAATACCACATGTAGCCGAGAAACCTTTGCAAAACCCATGTTAAACTCTGAGAAAACACTGTATTTACTTTCAGGATGACAACACAAGTCTAAAGCATTCATTTTTTTCAAAACAGAATTGCCTTAAGTTCAACAGATGCTCACAGGCAGAATGACAAATGCCAATCCCTTCTTTGGCACTGGTACCTCTGCCAAGCTCGTCCCTAATGATGAGTGACTTATCATCAGCATTTTGTATGACCTACATTATCTAGAAAAATAGTCAAAGCGTTATAACTCCTATAAAAGCGTATTTTTAAAAAGGAGGTTTTTAATGTACTTCAGGTGGAACATAACGCAGGAATTTTAAAAAAATCTCTTTGAGATACAGCAATTCTACCTTTTCAAAGCTTTCAAACAGCTGTCAATTCCAATCAAGCAAAGACTCACACTACATCCTCTTCCATTGAACATATCACTTACCCTCGGAATGGCAGCGGTTTGTGAGAGGAAACTGAGAGAGCTTAGGCCCCTACAAATGATAACTTCAAGTCTAAGCAAACCCAACAATGTTGAAAGTACTATTGAACAAAACACTGATGTTTACTCACACTGGAATATCCTTCTAATGAAGAGATGCCTGCTTTCCTGTGGTTTATCATAAAAGAGATGAAGGCTGAAGATTTGACTGTTTTTCAAAGTACACTCTTTCAGTGGAAATATACCAGTACCATTTCTATTAGTTTAACAGCAAAAACGGGCCTCGGACCTGGATAAGTAGATTTCATACCTCTTTCATTTCCTTCATGAAAGGTGATACCTTTCTTTCAGTACCATCATCCACACCTATTCTGCGAAATATCTGCTCTGCAATTCCAAAACAGCAATACTCTGCTGGGCCAGAAGAACCTACAAAGCAAGGAAAAGACAAGTTTCTCTCATCGCTATGACATTTGCCTGAATATGTCACTGGGGAAAAAAATTCCTTTTACACTTGGCTTTCCTGCACAGCAGAGAATGCATCTTACTTGCTAAAGTCTGTAAGATTACGTTCTGCCATTAATTGATAAGAAAAAAGTGATTATATAGATAGGACAATGAAAGAAGCTTATCACTGAAATTTTTAAGAAATCGTATGCCTGAAGCTCTTTGCGAGTCTAAAGGGATACAGATAAAATAGTGAACTCTAGGATTGTTTGACATTTCTGTGGCCACTGATTTACTAATCCCAAAAAGGTTAGTTTCCCAAAAATTATGTTGCCTTTATCAGACTTCAAAGCATAGCAGTTTTACCCGACAGGAAAGAACAGGAACCTTTGGCCAAAAACTTCACACTCTGCTTTATTCATATTAAACTCATGTCTTGGAGAGCAATTCCTCAGTAATTTGCAGTTACTGGGGATCAAACCCACAAATGCACGATGGATACATTTTCTTCTCCACTGCTAAGCAGCTTCTTTCTATAGAGTTAGGTCCTGTGCTGCTAGACATGCTTTCAAAGAAAAAGTCACGAGGAAATCCCCAATACAGGAAAGAGTTTGTTGGACTTTACAAATAGTTGGTTTCCTTTCATAACTTTAGTCACAGAACCTTGCAGTATTTGTTACTACTTTTATCTGAAGTAGGTGATTATTTATCTATTAATTGCACTTGTCTGGAAACATGCATCAACTAAGATGAATTATAGACATCACACTTACATATGGCATGTTATAGACAAATAATGGATTTTTTCCAAGGTGTCTTTTGAAACATACTGCATCCTGCTTTGGAATCTGTACCAAAACTCAAAGTAGTTGTTCTGGATCCAGGAATTTTGAGATCACTGTCAAACAAAAGCAGACACACCAGAAGTCAAAGTGAAATTGTAAGAAGATGTATTTGCTTTGAAAGCACACAGTTACTCAGCTATACTAATGCTCATCTTTTCCTTACGTTCTACTGTCACAAATGATTTACAGGCTCACAAGCAGCTTAAAAATACCTAGCAGCTCAATCATTCTCTCATAGCTATACCTACGACTTCGTACACCCAAGCATGCAGTGATTATTGTACGGGCAGACTTCTGCCAATTCAGAAATACTTCTTCTCTTAGACCGAGTGGCATTTCTCTTGTGACACAGATAAAAAGATTACATGACTCAGTTTCAGGTGGACTAATTCTAGTATTGTATTTTACCTTTCTCTGGACCATATGCTTTATAAAGCAACAGGAAAAACATATTTCTACGCCATTATGACTTCCGCAGTGTTTGCCTTTTCGTGGCTGCGTTATATATACTTGTATACATCAAACATAATGCACACCCAGCCATGGCAGTAAAGAGACAAACTCCAAGTCTTCCAAAAAGCCATTGGCTCACAGACTTCTACACACTTGATCAGAGCAGTTCCACTTTTCTAAGCAAAATACTTGAGAAAAGTAGCACGATGGTAATACAGATTACTTCAGAAAGTGAAATGCTTGCTGTGTCACCTAACAAACCACTAAAAAACTTTTCAAACACACTGAGTCACACTACATACTTTCCTCTATTAGAAAAGAATGTTTAAAAAGAAATAGAGTGCTAGGTGTTACAAAATCAGCTATTACCTGCTTGAAGACCAAAAAGAGCTCCTCATCTTGGAGTAATTCCTTCACAGCAGCCCAGTCTTGTGTTAATGGCTTCAGCATCCACTAGAGGTTCCAGGATCCTGGATCTAAGGCCTTGACTTCCACCGGGAGTTCTAGTGCAATTGAAAACACCAACAAGTGTGTGACCATTGCTCTGGAAATAAAATAGACGTGAAGAACACAAACACCACAAACAGAGAGAGCAAGTGTCGGGAGACATTTACAGGCAAGAGTCTCCTACAAACCTGAGGCATGCTTTGGCATGCTTAGCATCTCCCTGATTGCCACCTCTATTATAGGAACTACAGCAGTTTAGGAAGCCAGGAAACTCAACGGGATTTAACAGAAGATTAGCTCTCAAGTACATCAGTATAGAAAATACATTTGTACTTAGTATTTTATTCATATTCGGTAGTAGCATTCCATTGCTACCGCAGTGGAAAAGTTCACATTTTCCCACTCCGTTAAACTAATTAAAAAAGAACAAACCAACCCTACACAAGGAGGCAAATTATCAAGTTAAAATCAGAGATCAAATACTAATCAGAACCATTTACTTGAAATACTAAAGTCTGAAAAAAAACATACACATCAATCTAAAGATGATTAGGCATCATCTCTTTCCACAATACACTTTAGGATTTCCTGTGCTAGAAATGTTGTGCTGAATTGTAACATATTTCTCTGTCAAAATATTTATAGAAGCTCTGAATGCTATGCAAGTTCTCTCATAAAGAAATAAATGTAACAGTCAGCTCTTTGACACAAACCTCAAGGAAACGCCCCAATCCTTCCACACGTCTCACCTTTCTGGCAGAGAGCAGCTGCCTCCTCCTTCTGGCAGCTCCCGGCCGCGGGCAGGGCGATGGCTCAGGCAGCTCTGGGGACTGTTCTTCCTTCCTCGATGCATTTCTGTTTTTCTCCATTTCCCGGGCTGGAGGGGAGCGGGCAGGGAGCGCGGAGAGCAGCCGGGACGGGACCGGGGCCACTCCCAAGATGGCGGCCGCGGCAGGACCCCGCCAGAGCGAGAGGCGTCCCTGCTGCTGCCTGTCGGCGCCCGCCCGGCTCCCGCTCGCCTGTGCAGCCGCTGAGCCCACATGCCGTGTCCCCACGTTGGGAAACGTCGCGGAAAATCGCTCCGGGGGGAATCGGTGTTGGCGTCGCACGCAGGTAATCCACTAGACAGACTCAGGGTCCTTGATTTCCCGCTCTTTTTGCCGCCATGATTAGAAGGTCAGGCAAGAGGCGCCCGGGCCGCCATCTTGGGACTGTCGCCACGCTCAAGATGGAGGCCTCGGTAGGACACCCCCCCCCCCCCCCCCCCCCCCCCCCGGCAGATAGAGGTGTCCCTGCTGCTGCCTGTCGGCACCCGCCCGGCTCTCGCGCGCCTGCGCAGCCGTTGAGCCCACAGCCCGTGTCCGCACGCTTGGAAACGCCGACGGAAATCGCGCCGGCGGGATCCGTGTCGGCGTCGCGCGCAGGCAGCCGACTACACGCCTAGACTAAGCGGGGTCCTTGCTGTCCCGCCCTCTTCCCTCCCTACCCAAGGCGCATGCGCGGGCTGCCGCCATCCATGGAAGGTCAGTAATTTGGTTTTAAAGTTAGACCCATCTAGAGCATTAAATAGCCCCGGCCCCAGCATGGTCTGCACCCAGAACTTGGCGCTGAACGTTGCCTTTCAGACCGGACAGGACCCAGGCAAAAAATGCCCAGCTCGGGGTGAAATAAAACAATGACCCAGCAGGGGCCATGGGGACGATGGAGCGGGAGCCGCGGGCGGTGTCTCAGGGGCGGTGCCCGGGCCGGGGGGCCCCGGCCGCTGCGGGTCCGGCCCTGCCCACGGCCGTGTCCGCCCGAGCGGCGCTCGCTCTCCTGGGGCCGCCCCGTTCCTGCTGTGCCAGCGACAGCTGCGCCAGGAACGGGGGAAATCCGCTTGGGATTTCACAAGCGCACAGCTCGGGCAGCTGCTTCCGAAACTCCGCGCTCTTCACTAAGGCCGCGTTGAGCCACTGGAGCGGCTGAGGGTACTGGGCTTGTTCAGCTGGAGAAGAGACGGAGCTGAGAACTCATGAGAGGTCTGCAGCTTCTTCCTGAGGGGTAGCGCTGATCTCTGCTCTCTGTGACCAGTGGTAGGTCCCAGGGAAGGGCTGTAGCTCTGTCAAGGCGGCGTGAGGCTGAGTATCAGGAAAGGTTCTTCCCTCAGAAGGTGCGGGGCACGGCCTTGAGGCTGCCAGAACTCCAGGAGTGTTTGGGCACCGCTGCCAGGGAGGCGCGGTGTTGGATTGTTGGGGTGTCTCTGCAGGGACAGGGGTCGGACCGGATGGCTCCTGCGAGGCCCTGCCAGCTCAGGATACTGCACGGTTCTATTCCGTGACTGCTGTGGGGAAGACGCCGGCTTTAGCCGGCTCCCAGCCGACCCGAGGCGCTGTGAGCATCGCAGCCCTTCGCCCAGCGCGGCGGCTCAGAGGCGGCTCGGTCCGCACGGCTGTCCCCGAGCCTGTCCCTTGGCTTTCGCCTCTCAGAATTATCCCGCAGGCTGTGTTCAACACACGGCTCGGCTCGTTTAAAGCGCAGCCCCGTCCCGCCGCGGCCCCAGCGCCCGCCCTCTCCTTGCCCTCCCTTCCGGGGCGGGGGCGCGGAAGGACGCGGGGCCGGGAGGAGGCGGATCCCGGCGGCTGATCGCTGATCGCGGCGGCTGCCGCCGGCTCCGCGGCAGGCGGTGAGCGGGCCGGGGCCGGGCCGGGGCTCGGGCTCTAGCGGGCGTGTCCCGCTGCTGTGCGGGAATGTGAGGCGGCGGCCCCGCGGCTCGGCCGTGCGCTGCGGGGACGGGCAGAGTTGGGAGCGGGCAGTGCCAGGCTCCGCTGCGCAGCAGCCCTCGTTCGCTGCGTGTTCCCGAGCCTCGGTGCGGAAAACTTGGCCGATCTGGCACTCGTTTATGGTTTGCTGCAGTGTGAGGGTTTTGTTTTTTTTTTTTTTTTAAAGATCTGGCTCGCGTGTGGCTCCGGGCAGCGTCAGCGCTACAGCACTGCGATGTTTCAGCCGCCGCGGGGCAGGCTTTAAATCCAAACCAGGCCCTGCTTTCGTTTAAAAACGGGAGGAAAAACAAGCCGGAAATAGGTTGACATTTTTGTACGATCCTTTCAAATGTCTTGACTGCTTCTGTGTTTGAAATATACTGGCCTTTTTACAAGGTCAGAATGAGTAAAAGAGATCTAAAAATTGAAGGCTGCCCCTATGCTTTTGGCACTCGTTTGTCATTAAATGGTTGCTACTCTTCCGTATTGCTGGTAGCTGGAAAACCTTTTCTTTTTTTTTTATTTCCCTAAGAAGAAATCGTGTTTATTAAGTATTGGCAAAGAAATCGCTTTAAACTAGAAGAGAGGAGCGTTGGATGTAGATATGTTGTTCCCTGAGAAGGTGGGCAGGCCCTGGAACCCTGGAAGTGTCCAAGGCCAGGCTGGACACTGGGGCTTGGAGCAATCTGGGATAGTGGGAGGTGTCCCTGCCCATGGCAGGGAGTGGGACCGGATGAGCTTTAAGGGTCCTTCCAACCCAAACCAGTCTGGGGTTCTGTAAAATTCTAGTTGTCTCAAAGAAGCTTTTAATTAGAATCCATATTTTGAAAGGTGTTTCTCTGGGTAGTTCTGGTTTCGAAACGCTCTTATGTCCTCTTGAGGTAATCCCTATATTTGTTTGGACAGAGATAAAGTGAGTCTCACGAGGTAGAAAGAGGGAGCAGGGGGTTTTGTTTGTTTCTGTTGAAGATGTAAAATCCCTAGGAAAGGACGTGAGTCAGAGCTGCTTTGCAGGAGGTGTCCGGAAGCTCGGGGAGGTTTCACTAACATCGTCTTGTGTTGGACAGGGCTGCCTGTGTGTGAGGCAAAATGGCTTTCAGTAAAGGATACCGTGTCTATCACAAGCTGGAGCCACTTCCCTTCAGCGTGATGGTGGAAAGCAGGAACAGAGAAGAATGTCTGCTGTTTGAGTCCGGAGCTGTGGCTGTCCTCTGTAAGTCGATCTCTTTTGGTAACTACTGTGCTAGGAAGGTGCCACTTGACGTTGTGTGAGCCACGTCTTTGTGGAATGGAAAGGAGCAACTCTCGTGTTTTTCTGTTTGCTAATAGAGAGGCTTCTGATTTAAATGAGAAAAGAGACATTTTCTTGTCCTCCTCTGTTGAGAGAGAATTGTACACACTTAGCTACTTTTCTTTATGCGTGCATATTTTCACGTCCACTACATGTTCTTACAATTGCTCCCAGCATCATCTTATTTCTTGGGTTCTGAACACCCCTGTTGGAACACACGATCACATGATAACTCATTGGTGAGCTAGTGCTCTGTGTTGCATTTCGTGACAATGAATTCTATATTCTTAAATGTTACATTGTAATTTGGTTTTATCTCATTTTGTGTGATTTTTGATAGCTTTTTGATTTCTAGCTTTATTTTGTCCCTCTGTTTTTAACCTATCTCAAGACTCTGTACTCATTTGTCCTGTAATAAAATGAGTAATATTTGTAGCTAGGTGTCTTGAATTGCAAAGTTATTTTTGCCTGTTTTAAGTGAAAAATGCATGAGATATTTCCCTAAATATTTGCCCCCCTCCTCCTTTTTTGTTTTGATGGAGGACACTAAACTGACAAGTGCAGAAGAGAACCATAAGACCTACACATAGATTTTTTAAATATGTAAAATTATAAACGATGTTTGTGTTCTTTAGGAAGTCAAAGCACCTGGCTGCACAGCATTTCTGAGCTTGTGTTTGGTACTTTGATCAAAAGCTTTCGTTCCGTGGAAGTTTTTCTCCTTAGCCAGCACCTGTTAGAGGCCTGGCAGTGACTGACACGGTTGCTGCAGCTGTATGGTGGTCCAGGTGAACAGCGGGGGCTTTTCTCCTGTTTTTGCAGTTCTTTCTTTTTCTGGTACACTTCCTTCTCACTCTGCATTTAAGTAATCTCCCTGACTTTGGTGGCAGTATCCATAAGGCACTGTAGTGTGGATTGGGAATAAGTGTCCAGTCGTAAAGGTTTAGTGCAAGCCATAAAACGTTCTGAAGATTTGTGGAACAGGTTGTTTTATCCTGTGTTTAGTAATTGCAGGCCATGCTTGAGCTACTTAAGGGCCAGCAGATGAAAAATTATTTATTCCTGAAGGTTATTATTATTTATTTAAAATAAAAATTATTTATTTTTTCTTTATTAAATTTATTAAATTATTTATTCCTGCTCAGAAAGGGCCGTGAGTCATTTCTCTGCCGGGATACACTGCAGGCTCCTGGATCAATAAAAAAAAAATTAAAATCCGTGTCAAAGTTCTTGCCTGTTTCTCTGCCTTGTTGTTACCAAACACAGGAAGCCAGACCTGAAGGAAGTCCCTCCTCTTGGATTCTCTACTTAGTGATAGCTCATTTTAATCTGCAGAGCACTGTCCTTGGAGTTCTGATTGGTAGGGTACGTCATAGCAAATGTTCATCCTCAGCTGGAAGTAGTCTCTGAGTGTTCCTCTCAGTAACCTGAATCAGGAAACTGCTTATTCTTCTTCTGTCTGCTGCACGGCCATTGAATATTTAGCAGTGGCATTTTGCTTTAATTCCCTTTATTTTATTTCCATGTAATTCCCTAAGTTCTTTAGGTACTGATGCTTTTCTTAAAGGTTGGAGGATGCCAATCTTAGGCGGACAGCAGAAAAAGCCCTAGGTAACAAAGTCCCCTAGGTCAGGTTTGTTTCTTCTCTTTTTCTGTTTGATTTCCCCACCTGGTATCTGTTCTTTTAATGCCTGTTTAAAGGAGTACAGTTATTGGTGCTCGGGGGAGATTTGGGAAGTGCTGCTTCTCCATCTCGCTGGTCACGTCACAGAATCCAGCCAGGGGATTCCAGTCTGTAGCTGTACGAACTTAGAAGCATTTGTACAAATCATAGACAAAGTGAAATACTATTGTCCCTTGGGGAAGATTTCCCATGTTTGTAAAATCTGTGTGAATAGGTAGAAAAATGGTCGGATCAGGTACATACCGATTTAAATCCAGATCAGCTCCACTTTAAACTGCCAGAAACTTGTGGGGTTTTAGACAAAAAAAATTGACAATACTGACCTCAAAACTGTTAGACATTTTTCCAAATACTTGAATAAATACTAGAGATGAAGTAACATGTTTAGACTTATACCTGATCCTAGTTCTCACCTGGATGTGGAGTGGATAATACATGCACAGCCTAGTAAAATACATTTTAGCATTAAAACTCACTCATGTGGTTCAGTTCTGAAAGCCTTAGTGAACTGCACCTCCTGGAATATCCACGTACATAAATTTGGGGTTTAGATGGGCTAAGAGAAAGGAAGGGAAGCTTCCTGCTCCTCTCAGTGTCACCCTAAAGGAAGCACGCGTGTCGTTTTGCCCAGGGCAGGGTGAGGCACTGCCCGGCGAGTGCCAGGCTTTAGCTGAGCCTGGCCGGCGAGTGCCGCACCGCTCCGGAGCTGGCCCATGTCCGGTGCGTGTGTGCCACGCGCTGCTCCGCTCAGCCGCGTCGGGGGCGAGCAGGGAACGAGGTCCAAGGGATGCCTCACAGGGGCTGCTTGTGGAGCTGCTCGGTCTGAGCGTGGGGGCAGCCAGGCCGTGCTCCTGCTGGACGTGTGCTGTGGGAATTGATTCACGTTGCTGTGACTGAAACACGTGAACAATGCTTAGCTTTGCTTGGAGCGTTTAACACCTCTTTGGTTGGCAGGGTCCTGGTATTAGGTTAGCCCGAGACACTGCAGTGTGGGGGATCCTTCTCAAAGCCTGGTGGGAGCACTTGGGTTTTAGTGTCAGCAGATTCACTGCTGATTTGCTTAGAATTTAGTGGGAGGGTGTCACAGATGTATTTTTGTTCTTTTCCATCTGAAATGGGCAGTGTATTTATTGTTTGAAATGGGGCTCTCTGAGATGTCTTCTCTGGAAAGGTTTCCCTGCCTGGGCAGGAGTGTGTTCTCTCTCCCTCTGCCTGCAGTGAGTCATCCCAGAGGAGTGCTGAGCTGTCTTCACTCCTGTGCCCGTGGACAAGATCGTGTCTGGGAAAACACTGAGCCCTGAGCAGGAGCATCACGCACACCCTGGGGCTCAGCGTCCCAGGAAAGCTGAGCAGAGGGCAGCTGTGAGCAGGAGCAGGCACAGGGCCCCCCCCGGGCTCTCTGGAGCTGAAGTCAGAGCTGTAGTAACTGGTGTGCAGCAGCACCCTGGAGCTGCTCACTGCTCTCCTGGCTGCCAGTGCTGCTCAGAGCACTTCTTACAAAATTCTTCCACGCACTTAAACCAAGGTGGTCTCAGCAGGCCTTGAAAAGCAGTCTGGCAGGCTTTCCTCATCCCCAGCATCCTGAGCTGAGCCAGTACTAGGGGTGTGCCAAAACAACAGGTACCAAAAGTAATAGAAGGGTTCTTTGGTTGATTAAGTTAATTAATGAAACTGGTGGCTCTGTTCTGATTTTAATGTCACCTCTGGTAATATTCAGATGTTAGCTTTAATTTAAATACTAAAAACTGAACCGTCTTAATTTAACAAAACCATCAAAAACCTTAGTCTTAAAAGATCCAAACCCAACTTTGTTAATAAATTTTTCAGATTTTTTTTTTTCAGGTTTTTCAGATTGTAAGCCTTTTAAAGTGACAGTTGTGTGGACTTTTTCTCGTCTAATATAAGTAGGAAGTCTTGGATCTGAAGGAAATGCACATAATCTCAGGGTTGTGCTTTTGTTCCCAGCTTTGAGTCCCGTATTCTACCTGGAAACTGCAGCCACTGACCTGAAATGTGTTGTCAGGTGGCAGCCTCTGAGCTCACCAAGAAGAGAGCCCAACCCTAGAAAGCCTCCATGGTGTCTTTCACTGTCATCTGAACCTTTTAATTGTTCAAAGTGGGAAACTGATTTCTGGATCTGGGTTGAAGAGGAATGCATGTTGAACCAGACTGTCCTGAAAACAGGATTGCTGGTGGGGTTCCATTTGTTTAACGCTGGGATAGCTGACACATTCCCTTCAGAATAATTGAGTTGGCTACCTTTTTTGTCAGAGTCCATGACTGATCAGGTGTGTTTATTACAGATGGCATTTTAAGATGCTGTTAATCCTTAACAAATAGTGACTTGAAATTTTGTTGGTTTTCTCTTGGCACTGCAAATGGGGCTTTCTGGCTTTCTCCAGAGGTACCTTATAAATGGATTTGAAAATCACTTTGTAAGTGTCGTGGTTTTGTGGAGCTTTTTTTAGTTTTGTTTGGGTTTCTTGATACTGCATAAGAGTGATCATGAAAGGACAAAATCTTTGCATTTCTGGAGGGCTAAGGATAGGGGTCAGTATCCTGGTGCCTTGGGCTTCTGGAGAGCAGACTTTGGCCTCTTGAGGACACTGGATAAGAGTCCCTTGGGAAGAGAACGGAAAGGAGTGTGGTGAAGCTGTGCCTTCCTGATTTCATCTTGGTTTTCAGAAGCCTCAAGTGCTTTTTCCTAGTGCTGCAGCACTCCTGACCACAGGAAGTTCCTTACTGGGCACTGCCTCGAAAGCAGAAGCCTGGGCTGAGTGAGCATGGGCCAGGGCAGGATGGAGGAAGTGATGCTGTATTTGACGTTTTCCCATGTCAGTTTTGGCCTTAATAAACAATTGGAGGTGGGAAAAGTGCAGGCAGTGTGAGAGAGAAGCACTGAGATGGTTTCTGTAGAAAAGCTTTGAGTTCCCACTGAATTAGGTCCAAAGTAAATGGAAAACATGGCATGAAATGCTTTTGGCTGGTTCTTGGGCACTTTAAGAAAATAATAATTGACTAGCCACAGTAAGTTTCTCTATTTTCGGTTGGTTGGTTGGCTTTGCAAGCCTTTGCTGCTTTACTAGCCTTTGTTGGCCTTTTTTGTTGGTCTGAAAATTTGCAAAGCCCCTGTTACTGCATTTACTTTGGGCATTTACTTATTAAGGCTTAACAAGGATATCCAGCATTCTCTGCAATGGAAAGAGAATAAATCCACAGAAGACAGAAAAGGCATTGTTCTGACTTGTCATTAAATCCCAGCAGGCACCTTTAAGAAAAATCCTGCAAGAAGTTTGAAAGGAAACTTGATCTTTCCATAACAATTTCCCATGTGGAGGAAGAACACGGCAGCTTTGTGGTTATGGGAAGCTGAATTTAGAGGAGTACTTTGGTATCATTCAAGCCTTTCTAAAACCAGGTTGCAAGAACCAGGGTCTGAAGTTTGGAAGTTCTTTCTCGCCCAGGGGTTTTCTGGTTAAGAACAACACAGTTTGGTGATGCTGACAAAATGTTTTTAGATTGGCTGCAGGTTCTTAACTCTCACCCTGAGTGAGTGCTCTAGAAAGAAATCTTCATGCTGCTATAAAACTCTTTTTATTACATCTGTATTACAGGAATATGAGTGCAATAGCTATTAGTGCAATAAGGTAAAGAAACTTTTAAAAAACCACTTAATAAAACATTGAGTGAGGCTGGACTTCAAGCTGTGGTTAAATAATTGTTTTGTCTATATTAAATTGTCTGATCCACTTTAATAACAGAGCTGGCAGATGTTTGAACAGAAGCAGTAGGCTTGTGCACAGGCAGGGCTATACTGATCTTAGGGAATACTTGTTGGGAAGGGCAGTTCTAAGTAAAACAGAGCCTTTTTTATTCCAAATAAAAGACAGATTTTATTCTAAATGACATAGCTGATGTGAGAGAAAGTACAGCAGAATTCCAGGGCAAATGGGCATTTTGATATACTCATCTCCATGTTACGTTCTGAGGTTTTTAGTGTCCGAGCCAAGCAGTGCTGGCTGTTGGTGAGCAGGGACTCTTGAGCCCTGTAGATGCAGTGGTAGAGCTGGAGTTGTTGTTAATGAAAAAAGCAACACTAAGCACTATTTTTAATTGCAGGAGAGCACTCTCAGGCATCTTATTTGTCTGTGTTGTAGAGGCTTTTTTTAATAAGAGAGGATGTAAAAAATGCCAGTGTTCTCCTTTAAAATCACTTGGAGTTTTTACAAGTCCTTTTTTTATTGCTTGAAAGCATGGCATGATGATAGTTTGTCACAGATGCAGGCCCTCATTTTCCATTATAAAGTGCCATGTGCTCATCCATTTTGGTTTCTTTCCAGAAGCGTCACGTAGGCGCTGCTTTTGTAATGCCTCAGGTTTTTGGTTTGGAGTGGCTCGTTCTCACTGCCACAGTGCTGGGCTTTTACATCAGCACATCTTTCCTTTTCTCTCCACAGCTTCTGCCGAAAAAGACACAATCAAGAACACGTACTCCAAAGTCATGGATGCCTATGGGCTCCTGGGTGTGTTGAGATTAAACCTCGGTGAGTCAAACGTGGAAAACTTGAATTTTTCATTTGGGGCAGACGACTGGGCTGCTCTTGTAGGACTGGATCTTTGCAACAGGAACGAGGCTTATTTTTTCCTATTTGTTCTTTTGGTTTGGGTGGGTTCTTTTTGTTTGTTTTTTGGTTGGTTGGTTGGTTGTTTTTTTGTTGTTGTTGGGTTTTTTTGGTTGTTGTTGTTGTGTTTTTTTGTTGTTTTTTGTTTTTTTGGTGTTGTTTTTTTTTTTTGTGGAGTAACTTACAAGTTTGGAGCGTTCCCAGAAATGAGGGAGTGGACAAAAATAACTTCCGTTTTTGCAATCCCTGTTCTTTGCAGTATAGTTTCTCCTTTTCTTCTGTAGAACTTGGGAATGTGTTCTTGGTGTTGGTTCTTTTTGTACATTTTTCAGGCAAACCGACGTGTGCTTGTGTGCCTTTGGCACATAAGGGAATCAGCATCCTGCTCTGCTGGGATCCCTTCTCTTACCTGTGCCCTTTCTTGTTTCGCAGGAGACACACTGTTCCATTATGTGGTTCTGGTGACAGGCTGCATGTCTGTGGGAAAGATCCAGGACTCTGAAGTTTTCCGAGTTACCTCCACCGAGTTGGTGTCACTGCGAGCTGACCCGGCAGACGAGGATCGTGTTTCCGAAGTGCGCAAAGTGTTGAACTCCGGCAACTTTTATTTTGCGTGGTCTGCGACGGGCGCCAGCCTGGACCTGAGTCTCAGTGCTCACCGCAGCATGCAGGAGCACAGCACTGACAACAGGTTCTTCTGGTGAGTTCAGCAGCTTAAATAATGCCAGTGATGACCACTGACCCGTCAGAATTTCTGTTCCCTTCAGCCTCTGTTAAAAACGCTCTGTGTTCCAAGACAAGGAGTCTTGGAAGGGTGCTGAGGACTTGGCTTTACACACACCCTCTTAGAACAGGTCAAAAGGTACATCCATCCCCCTCTTCTGGCCTAAATACACCAAACCAGCTCTGGCATATGAGCTGTGGCTTCTCTGCTCTTAGCTGCTATTTCGCTCAGGTAGAGGAATATGATCAAAGTGAAGAAAAAATTATTAACAAAGTCAGGTCTTCAGAAACACTACTTCCTTGGTGTAGGTTTCCAGGGGTTGTAGGAGCCTTGCTGTTTGTCAATGCATCTGGCAAAAGACTTTGTTCTCCATTGATCAGTCAGTACTTCAAGGACTGAGAAATGATGACTATTGACCCTGTCCAAATAAGTTGGGCTGATTCTGCCCCCTGCTGTAAAACTTGGGAAGTTTTTTTCAGTAAGAACCAATCCTCCCAGGGCATAGGTGGAATGTCCAGATTCCAAGATCTAGCAATGTAACCACTACCAGTCAAGAGCAGCAAGTGTTCTGCGTATGCACTTGAGTGAACTTCCTGTGGGTTTTTCTGTGATGATTTGTGGTGGTTTTCTCCCTGACAGGAACCAGTCACTGCACTTACATCTGAAGCACTATGGTGTGAACTGTGATGACTGGCTGCTACGCCTCATGTGTGGAGGAGTGGAGATCAGGACAATTTATGCAGCTCACAAGCAGGCCAAGGCTTGTCTCATTTCACGCCTAAGCTGTGAGCGGGCTGGCACGAGATTCAACGTCCGGGGAACAAATGACGATGGGCACGTTGCCAATTTTGTTGAAACAGAGCAGGTATGTTACACTCCAGCACTCCCATACATGACAAGCCAGTGAGCCAACAAATCACAAGTCAACTCTGCCAGCAGCAGATATTGGAATAGTTTCTTTGATGCTAAATTAGGAAGCTAAGTAAGTTATGTAAGTTGGTGATCTTGGTTTTTAGTGTGGCTTATGGTCAGGGCATGCCTGGGTCTGGGTTGCAGTAGCTTAAGAAGGTGCTGAACTCCTGTGGGTGGCTGTGCTTCCCCTGAGCCCCTTGAGCTGCACGGCAGCATGTGCCACTTGTGGCCTGAGCTAATCTCAAGTGATAGAAAGAGGCAGAAGGGATTTCTGGCAGATACCAAACACCCGTGCCTTGTGGCTCTAGAAAGATAAAAAAGTTCCACTTAGCACAGCTTCTCTGAAGGGCAGCTTGTAAAGCCCCTGGCGTTCTGCTGCCTTGGATTTCACAGCTGTGCCCTCATGATACAGAAATGTGAGAAGCTGCTCAATCTTTCTTTGCTGGCCTTCCTTGGCTCCCTTTCCAGGGTAGCCTGTTTCCAAGAGGTTGTTCCTGCAGCTGTGTTGGTGCTCCTATGTTTGTTTGGCTGACTCCTTCCAGAGCCCAGGAGGCTGAGGGAGGACTTTGTGCAGGAAGGGCTCTGCTTGTACCCCTCCAGTTTCAGGAGTTCAGTCACAGCACTCCTGTTACATTTTCTCTGCCCTAGTTTTCTGGCATGCCAATGTCCCTGCATGGCTGTGGTGTGTTATTCCACTTATGTTTTCCTTTCCTGGATACTTCATGGACTGTGATATGTTGGTTTCTGATGCAGAAAATCTGTGCAAGCGTTCTGAGTAGGTGATTTTCTGTGCATTGGTGTTCATTTTAACAGTTCCTGCAGCAAAGTCTTACCAGGTTGTTTAAAGCATCTCAGAACTCCTAGTGCAGAAGTCACTGAAGCCCAAATAATAAAAGCTGTATTTCCTTACACGTTGTGAATTCTGCAAGGGAGCGTGAGGGTGACAGAACTTTTTGTAGGAATTGTTCAGAGTGGATAAAGAGAAGTCTTGGGATAAATATTTGAGTTTGTGGTGTGGAATATGTAATACATAAATCTATTTTATTTGCTCCATGTTTAGTTAAGGCTAAGAATTCTAAAATCTTACACTGTGATAATTATTAATACTATGCTTTACTTTCCTTAACACAGGTGATATATTTGGATGAGTCTGTGTCATCTTTCATTCAGATTCGAGGATCTGTTCCATTATTTTGGGAGCAGCCAGGACTGCAGGTGAGCAGGAGATAGATTTAATTATACAGATAATTCTTATTCATGTTCTTTTAAACATCATCTAGTAGCCTTTGGGCTCTTCTTCAGAGTTGCCTGTAAGGATGAGGTGATCCTTTGGGAGCACGTTGGTGCTGCTGTGATTCACCAAGCCTGCTCCTCTCTAAAAGTGTCATTGCACACGACTTGAGTGTCCATTCTTTTTTCCATGTCTTCTCTTTGAAGTTCTGACTTTTTCCTCTTTTAAATGGGTTGTCTAAGGACATCCAAACAGACCGTTTTCTTCTGAATTGTTCTTGAAGAGAAGTCTTTCCAGGAAGTCAATAAGAATCCAGAGTTACTGTGATAGAATTTCATCACCATTTTCCTGAAAGAGGGACTGATTCGGCAACTACTGCTGTGACACATTTTTTACAGGAAAGGTGAAAAAAAGTTTGTGCCTTACAGGGCCTCTAGGTTCTTTAGACATACCAGCATTTTGCAGTATAACTGCTGGAACATTCACATGCCTTTTACTCGAAACAAGGCGATTTAATGTAACTTTGGTGTTGTAGGTGGGATCCCATCGTGTCAGGATGTCAAGGGGTTTCGAGGCAAATGCACCAGCTTTTGACAGGTAAAAATCACCTCAAGTTTTTGGTAATGCACTGAAAACCTCTGATCAGTTCTGCTGCATCACAGAGAAGGGATGCATTATTCCGAACAGGAGGCTTTTTCTGTGCAGATGTGGGATTCAGCAAAGCTGGGGACTCTCTGGGGATTGCTTATGCCTTTCAGTGCTTTGTTGGAAAGTGTGAATAAAATTTATATCGAATACTTTGCAAGTTCTCAGTGTTGCAGGTGTTACTCTTTATTTTCTGTGTGCCAGAAGATGACTGTGGAATTTTTCTTCTGTTACCAGGCATTTCCAAACTCTGAAAAATTTATATGGCAAGCAACTTATTGTAAATTTACTTGGGGCAAAAGAAGGAGAGCACATGCTCAGCAAAGCTTTCCAGGTGAGCATGACAGTTCTTTCACTGTGCATATCCTTGGAGTTTGCTTGTTTGCAGTGAAGCTTTTACATAGCCTTTGGAAACCAAACCCCCAGGTATGCTGTGCTCTGGGAGCTAAAATTGGATTTATCATAACAGCACTGCTTAAGATGCACGATGTGAAAGGAATTGTTAAAAGCTCTTCATGTAATTCCTGTTTGATTCTGTTGAGATTGGTTACTGTACTGGAAAACCTTTTGCAAGTGAAAGCATTTGAGCAGCAGAGGAGGCCGTGGGCTGCCTTGGTGACCCCTGGGGTAGTAAGGGAAAAACCTGACTTTGTGACAAGGAAAACAAAAATACACGTGAAATATTGATCAGTTCTGAGTGATTGGTTTCAATGGTGATAAAAGTTGTTTCATTTTACCTAAAAGAAAGCTGACAAAACAACTTCTAAAATATTTGTAATCTCTTGTTTAGCTCCTGCTTCTGTATGTTCAGGTACTGGTGTATTTATACTTTTTTCCTTTTTCTATTTACAATGCCAGAGCCATTTGAAAGCATCTGAACATTCAGCTGATGTCAAAATGGTGAACTTCGACTATCATCAGATGGTTAAAGGTGGAAAGGCAGAAAAACTACACAGTGTGCTTAAACCTCAAGTCCAGAAATTCTTGGAGTGTGGATTTTTTTATTTTGATGGAAAGGAAGTGAAGAGGTTTGTATGTGTAACTTCTGTACATTTCCTCAGATTAAGCTGTGGTGCTGGGCTGTGTTTCAGTCCTCAGCAAGAAGATTGTTGCCTCTGTAATTTCAGTGTCTCCTGGGTGATGCTTAACAGCTGAAATAGGAGTCAACTATTTTACTCTGGTGATGTCTTGTCTCATTCTGTGTAGGCTCTGAAAACCTCTGAGGAAGGTTTCTGTGAGACATTCAAGGGACAGGAATTAATTTCAGGCCTTTGACCTGAGGATTTAGTGCAAATGGTCGACAGTCCTCTTTCTAGTGGGCAGCCACATGGAATGAATGTTTTTCCATCTTCCTGTAGAGCATGCTGAGGATTTCCCTCAGTGGTGGAATGCACCATTTCCTGTGAGCTGTAAATGTTCGTGTTCAGGGCCGTGGTTTGGACTGCACTGGATCCCCGTTGGAGAGATTCCTTTCTCTCAAAGCACGGTGGAGATGCACGTTTGCTGCTCTGCTCTGTGCTTATTCCTGATCCCTGGGGCAAAGGCTGTGCTTATCTCAGCCGGACAAGAGGAGCAGGGATAGAAGTAGGCAACATTCCTTCCCTTCTCCTTTCCACACCCTTCCTCCTTTAGACTAATGCAGAGCAAAGTGCTGAATTCTTGTTACTTTTAGTTACTTGTTACCTGAATAAAATTCAAGAACTGTCTCAGTACTTTTTTCTTTTCTGGTTGCAAGTAAGAGTTATTTCTCTCTGAGGTTCTTTAGAAGTGTGTTAGTTGAATTGTTTGAAAAGAAGCTCTAATCTTGCAGAACACTTGAAGCAAGCAAGGAGGATTGGGAGAAAGAGGCAGAAGGACTGATGTTATTTGCAGAAAGTGCCTGGGCTGTGCTCAGTGAGCACTTGAAGCTCGGGCTCTGTTGCTGGCACGTTTATAAATGCCCTGGTGGGGCAGGAAGGTCCCACTGCCACTGCCCTGATTTACTGCCCTGGCTCAGATGTGCCTGCCCTGCCTCTGCTGAGGAGATGTGTTGAACGGGTTGTTTCAGTTGTTTTCTCTCTGCTCTTGTCCTTGGCACAGGTCCCAGAATGGCACTGTCAGGACCAACTGCCTGGACTGTCTGGATAGGACAAACAGTGTGCAGGCCTTCCTTGGCTTGGAGGTAGGAGCCCCATGCAGCTGCTGCTGGGCACGGGGCTGGCAAAGCAGGGCCACCTTCCCAGGGCACACAGCTTCTCCTGGCTGGGTTCTAGTGGGAGCTGGCCTCCTGGCTGCCAGAGGGAGGGCCTTCAGCACGTCTGAAAATGAACAGTATGGGTGCTGGAAACCTAGAAAAATCATTATCCTTCTGTTTGCTGAATTGAAGCTCCTAATTTCTACAATTTGTTTCTTCTTGCTTTTGTTTTGCGAGTTTCTTTTGTGGCTTTTGTTGATTCCTGCCCAAACCTTCAGAATTTTGCTTTTGCCATTTTGTGTCTATTATTTGAGGCTCCTTCTTCTTGCTGTCAGATACCCTAAGACTAATAAAAGCTCTAGAAAATAGCTTTTGTGTTTAGTTTGGTGAACTTTTAGATGAAAATATTTGCAAATTAGCTACCTAATTTTTTACTCTATTACTACCTACCTTCAAAGGCAAATGAAGTGTTGGTGCTAAATTGCACGTGTGATGCAGCCTTTCAAATATGATCTGGTGAATGGTTCATATAAACCCAAGATTTGTGGGGTTTTATGCATATATGCTGAAAAACAGGATGTGCCTTTTAAGAAATCTGTTTACACTGGGGTTTTTTTGTTTGTGTTTGGTTTGTTTGGGTTTTTGCTCATGCTGTCTTCACCTGTTCCAGATGCTGACAAAACAGCTGGAGGTATTAGGATTAGCTGAGAAGCCTCAGTTAGTAACTCGCTTTCAGGAGGTTTTCCGATCCATGTGGTCTGTGAATGGTGATTCTGTCAGTAAAATTTATGCTGGAACTGGAGCCCTTGAAGGAAAAGCAAAGGTAAAGTACATCCTCTCAAATGCTTTGGCAGTGTTCAGTATGGCTTTGATTGAATTCTGCCATGAATATAGCAATGATGAGATTTTCCATAAAAAACGCGCTCTTTGTAACCCTAAAACAATCCCAAACAAAACCCAACTAACCAAAAAAATTAACTTGTAGTGGTTGGTTCTGTTGATAACCAGCTCATGTTCTTGTACATCCCTTCCTAGCCCTGCTTCTGCTTCCCATATAACACCATTGTGTGTGCAAGAACAAGTCTCAAATCTTCCCTTTCTTTAGAACATAGCTCAGAAAAATGTATATTCGAATCAGCTTAATTTTGTTGAGTATTTTTGCTTTTCTCTCTGAATCTCTCCTGCTATTATTTCAGCCCCATTCACTGTATCTCCTTTTCAAGTGTGTTTGATGGGATGTTGGTTGTGTTTTTATGTTTAATGGTGTTAATACTGACCCAGCTGTAGCCTGGTGGGTTTTGTTTGCATGTTCGTCCAGCTTTTTCTTCTTAGTTTTGCAGCTACTGAAAAAGCCCCAAATTTTGTTTCTACCTTGCTTTCTAACACTGTGAGAACAGTTCCATGTTCCATGACAATGTTATGTTTCTCTTCAGCTTGTTTTGTCTTGGTTGCTGCCTGAGTTGTTCCCATTTTCAAATGCTGTCTTTTGGTTTTTTTTTCTCACGATGTTGCTTCTTAGTTTCCCTAATCCTGTACCTGTCAAGACAAATGTTGACCCGTAGCAATTTTTGCCCTTAGTTCCTTCAAGAATGTCTTTTCACACTGTTCTTTGTGCTAAAGAATGTGCTGCTTCTCATTCCATGTTATATCCTATGTACCCATAGCCAGGTGTTTTGGATTTTCCATCATTTGTTCGTTGACACTGTGCCAGGGTCCTTCTCTGCTCATGTAGGAGGTATCACAGCAAAATACACAAAACCAAAAGAATCAAATAACCTTGTTGCTTCTTCTGCCCCTTGACTGGTGCATACAAGACTTCTTCATTTGGGAATTGCTTGTGTTTTACTATGGAGTAGAATTTGGTTCAAGATGTTTAGTTTTATTTTCTTACAAAAATGTCACCCAGACTGCCAGGAATACTGCAGTAAGTATTCTATGGAGTGTCTCCCCTTGTCTTGACTTTCCCATTCAACCTTCTTAGTTCCTTTTCCTAAATTAATAGTTTCCATTTCATCTAGTTCATTTGGCTGTTTATTTTTTTTTTACTTTTAAAAATGTATTTCATGTATTTCCGTTTCCATTTCTAATGTTTAAAACACAGAGTAGATGTCCTGGTTTCAGTTTGTTAAACCACAACAGTACATTTACTCTGCTGTCTCTGGAATAATTCTGGATCTCTGCCCTGGGACAACTCTGATTAGTACCACATCTCATAAATCAAACCAAACGTCTCTGACACGAGTCCCATCTCTTCAAAGAGAATCTTCGGTGCTTGCAAAGCCATACAATACTTGCTCCTGGTTCAATTCAACCTGACTCAGTATGTTTTTGAGAACTCTGGGTATATCTTTTAAAATGTAGTTTTTAAGTTGCATTCTCATTTCTCAAATGAAAAGTTTGATGCCTGAAATTGTTCCATTTCTTACTTGTCAGTTTCATTCTTCAAACCCCGAGAGTACTTAGAAGTAAAAATACAGAAACTGTGCATAGGAGAAAATCGTTTTAACCTTGAGTGTGTTAATACCCATTTCTATACTGAAAACCAGTTCTTTTTCAAGTATTATATTGCTATTCCATCTAACTCCTTACCTGCTCTTTCTTTTGCTCTCTCGGGGTTCCTTTCAATGAATTCCCTCATGTGTGGATGGTGAGTGTGGTTTTTGGGATCATCACTTGTACATTGTCTGCCAGGAAGGGAGTGCATCCTATCACAATCCCATTGCAATCAGGTGCTCCCTGCAGCTCATCCCCATTGTCTGCCAAAGTCCCTTGGCCTTGCCTAAAGAGCACCTTCTGTCTCTGTCCAGTGCAGTTCACAGAGCTGAATCCTGGGCTGCTTTTATTAGGCTTTTGCCTCCTTTCCACGTGCATTTAAGGGCCTTTCGTGGACAATGCAAGCTGTGAACTTGGGAGTATTTTTTAATAAAAGCACAATCCCTTGCAGCATCCCTGATGGATCACAGCCTGTATTTCACACACCTGGAGCAGTGTGTGTTCACAGACACCTCACGGGCAAGGCACACGCAGCAGCACGTGTAATCAGAAAGGTTTTGTGTGTCCAGATGAGCAGAGCCAGGTTTGGGATGGAGCCCAGACTGCACTCTGTGGTAGTGGCATTGTCCCTGAGGTGTGTGTGGCCCTGGGTACATGTGCACCAGCAGCACATTTTCCTTATCTCCTGTTCAGCCCAGCTGGCTGGTCACTGTTCCTGCAGACTGCAGCTCAGTCCCCAGTGTGCAGAGACAGTGGCTGGGTGGGGGGGTCTGTGTTCCTTCTGGGATGCTGTGTGACACTTGCAGGCTATTTCTACAAGTTAAGGGGGGCCTTAAGTCGCACCTCTCTCTGTTTCTAACATGGATATTCCAGAATGTGAATTCTGAAGTCGTAAGTGTGCATAAATATATGCATTCATGTCTCATGGCATTTGGACTCGAGTGCTTGCTCATCTCTCACTATTTGGGGAAAAGCCCAAAATCCCTGTCATGGTCTAAACATGGCACTGTATCCAATTAATTTTTAAAGGCCTAGGGTTTAGGGGGAGAAAATTGTTCCCTTCCCTGCAGTATTTTATTTCATTTCGTTTCATTTATATCTGCTTGTTAGATACACCTTTTAGGTATTACAGTGGTTGTTAGCATTTGGGGGTGGGGGCAAAGCTCACGTAGCACAGTAGGCTCAGACTTGATTTAACACTTAAAGAAGAAAGTTGCCTTAGCCCTTAAAATCATTAACACAGTTTACATGTATCTACTGAATATTGCCAATGTTTTGTGAGCGGTGTCCGACATAAAATATTTTATACATGTTCCTCCCTAACAGGCTGGAAAGCTGAAGGATGGTGCTCGTTCTGTGACCAGAACCATCCAAAATAACTTTTTTGATAGCTCCAAGCAGGAGGCCATTGATGTTTTGTTATTGGGAAATACCCTAAATAGTGATTTAGCAGATAAAGCACGGGCTCTCTTAACCACCAGCAGTTTACGCGGTATGTGTCTTTCAGGATTTTAATCTCTGATAACTATTTGGTGTAAGAAAGCTGTATAGAGTTTGTTTTCAAAGCACTGTTGGAAAGTATAAATGCTATTTTATGTTCTCTTGGCTTATTAAAAAATGCAAGTTACTTCTGCTTTACTAATAGTGCCAAACTAACATGCTGCAGAAATTGCTTTACCTGTTTATGATCTGTGGGTGAGGTTCTACATCAAAAGCAGAGAGATTTGGATAAGAAACTCTGCTTGTGCAGAGCAGCCACGTGAGTCTTGGGGGTTTGGTACCAGGATGGTGGCTCCCCTCATGAGAACAGGGTGCTGAACCAGCATCCTGCATCCCCAAAGAGGGGAAGCCTCCGTGGTTCCCAGGACTGCAGTCAGTCCCATCTTCTGCAGGTCTGGTGGACAAGAAAATAGTGGGTCAGTCCTAGGGCTGTGTTCAGTCGCCTCCTAGGACATCAAAAATACAGGAGCTCATATTTGGGCAAAGAAGGAACTGGAATTTAAATTTACCTTCACAGATCCCAAGATCCCAGGTAATAATATTCTGGGTTACTGCAATTTTTAGGGATTAATAACATTGTGAAATTTCCCTTTTTTTTTTTTTCCCCTGACACACCTTAACCTAGAACGAGGAAAAATATGGCAAAGCTTCAGTGCAAATCTGTGGCTCAGGAGGAAAATCGTTGCCCAGTTGTAGCCTTCATCTCGAGGGTCCACATCTTCATCCCACGTGGAGTCCTGAGGAAGTGTTTTTGTCCCGTTTGTTTAGCACAGGGTTTCACAGTTATTGTGACTTTTCTTATATCTGAAACCTGCTAAATCGGCCTCACCTCAAAATTAGTTCCAATTCGTTTTCATTTCTTCTCACTGTTTGTGGGAATACAAGCTGTCTTTTCCATATCTGCAGCTCCTGACAGCTGGGGAGCATGAATCCCTCTTCCCTGAAATCTCTCTGCATTTTCTGCTAGGTGGCAAGGTAACCAGTGGGGTACTTCAACATGTGTGAATTCCTCATTAATAAAGGAGGAAAAGAGAATTTGCTAATCCCCTTGTGAAACATGGTAGATTTTGCAGCATAAAACATGTGCTTTGACTGATGTAAATGGTTACGTGTAATAAATTGTGTATTAACAGCATGTTTTCTCACATAATGCTGGAAAATCCTAAAAAGCAGTAACTTATTTGACTAATCTTTTCTTGTTTCCCTCTTACTGCATCCGTAGTTTCAGAGCAATCGTTACAATCAGGTATAGTATAGTACAGTAACACACGCTGTAAATGCCTGACCAGCTGTTGTTGTCCTCTGGCTGTTCTTGTGTCTGTTTGTGTCATATTTGCCTATGGGCTCGCATTTTCCTGGTGGTGTTTGGATCTGGCATTCCTGCGCCCTAACATCCTTTAATCCAAGAAAAGTGAGAATATAAAGAGATGAAAAATGTTGCAGTTGAGTTTGGGTGCGAGTTAGGAAAGGAGGTAACTAATTCACAGGGGTCTATTTTTGCACATGCTCTGGCTGTAAAGGAATTTCCCTTTTTCTCTGCTTTGGAGGCCTCTGTATTTTTGCTTTGTTAGGATAAGAGGTGAAATTCTTCAGTACAATTTGTATATTCATCTTCTTTGCTGCTAGAAGGCTCCACATGCTCGTGTTCTTGCAGGAAACTTGTCAGCTGCACTTCATGTTCTTGTTCCTAGCAACCATTCTTTAAAATAAAATGTTCCTAATGCTCTTCTATCCAGATTTTACTGTGTGTTGAGCAAATTTGAATGGCCTTTACACTTGCCAACTTTGTGTGTTTTACTCTACCTACTTAACTCTTGGTGAGTATCTAAAAATGACGTCTGAGTCACAAATAATGCATGTCTGAAATGAAGTGATTCACTGGCGTTTTGTCAGTGTAAGCAAGTGCTTATTGGAGTGAGTGGTCACACTCTCACCGATGGTATTACCTTCTATCTTAGAACTCTGGAAGAAGAGCCAACTCTTTTTATATATTGATAAATTATTGTTGTTGTTATTATTTAGGTCTAAGTTTTATTATTTATTAGAATACCTATTTTTTTAAGAGTTCTAAATCAATTGTTTTTTAGCATTGCAGGGTTTCACCTGGGTACGAATTGCATATATTGAAATATTCCTACAGGGATTTGGGTGTTGCAGTAAAACAGTTTCATCAAGTTCCAACAGTTCCATTCAGCTGCACAGAGTACCCCAAAGAGCATTTTAAATTAACACTCCCTTTGTAGAACTGATTTTCAAATTTCTGCTCGCCCAGCAACAGCAGCAGTCCAAGTACTTTTGCTGCAAATAACAGGAAATGTAACTGGTTGGATTTCCCGTGTTGTAGAGTGAGGCACCGTTTTGCTGAAAAGATACATTGCTAGAAACGGGTAGGAAAATCAGAGTCTCAGGAGCTCAGAAAAGCACTTGGTTCACTCGGTATTTTGGAAAGTGGTAGAAATTTTTATTTTTAATTACTCTACAAAAAGAGTCATTCTACAATTTAGGAAGACTGCTAGTTTAAAGATACACATTTTTTTGTTTATAATAAGCTCGTTGTCAGTTCACTTCTGGAGTTAGAGTCTAACCTGATAAGGCTTTTGACATTAGGGTCTCATAACAGCATCAGGAGTTAAATAGGCAGTGATGACGTTTTGCAGCTTTCCTTAAAAGCTGCTCAGCAGCAGCTGAGTGCTTTGGAGTCAGTACAATGAAGCGGAAATGCAGTACCTTTTCCAAAGCCCAGGATGAAGCCGAGAGGAGGAAGGCCCCAGCTGTGCCCTTAGACTTGCCCAGAGTGCTGCAGAGGCTCATCTCTGCAGGCCTGCACAGCTCCTCCGGTGCTCTTGGGCTTCCTGGGCTTCAGCAGCCCTTGGCGTGATTTGGCTGTTTGGATGTGCTGTGGCTGCAGCGTCCCTGGGACTGCTTCCCTTCGCTGCTGGGGGCTGAGGCAGCTCCTGTTCTCCCCCCTCTGTGGCCTTTTGGGCGTGTGCTGGGCTTGGCTCTCCCGGAGGGCCCAAGTGTCCTGTTGGCTCCTTGCTGCTTTCTAGCCTTCATGGCCCTGGATCTGGATGAGGAAAGCATGGTCCCGAGCACCATGCACTTGGAGCACCCCCAGGAGACACCAACCAGTTCATTGTCCTTTCTCTGTGGTTGGGTCATTTATGGACGTAGCATTTGTTCAGCAGGGAAAGCATCCACAGCCAACAAAGCTATTTTCTTCTCTTGCTTCCAGTCTTTTTCAAACCCAATAGGGATAGAGAATACCTGATTTTTGTTTTAACCAGGTAGCCAAGATGACAAACTTAAAAAGAATAACTGAAAAGACAGCAGTAGCTCACCAGTCATCTTCTTTGGGGAATTTAAATGAAAGTGCTGTTCCCAGTAGCTGACTTAGTTTTCAAGATAGCAACAAGTGAAGTAGTCCATCTAACATTGTTTATATTGTTCTTTTGGAGTCTTTTGGATAACCATGAGAACATTCAAAACAGGTAAATTCATGTGCCTTAGGTCCAGTACCTGACCATTGAATCAGCTTTTTCCTTTCTGCGTTTCTCACAATGTCCTTTACATATGGGCCATTCCTCTCTTCATCTGGCAGATGAAAACAAGGCACAGGGAAAGGCTGATGGGACAGAGAAATGAGTTGAATTATTTTGAATCCCAGCCTACTGTCCTCACTATGGCAGCTCTTTAGGAATTCAGCTGACCTAAAAATAATTCAGATTTGTAGCTTAAATAGACGTACTCTGATATGATGCTATGATGCAGTAATACACCTTCTCTGATGTAGTACTTGCAGTGTATCAGCCACTTTTACGCTTCCAGAAAACAATATAAATAATGTATCTGCATATTGGTTCTGTAACAGAGATGGAATTTCATAAATTGAATGTGTGGAAATGAGGTAGATATCCTTGTTGATATGTATGAAAAGTGATGGTTTCCTTAGAGAGTCTCGGGTGAGATGAAAGAACAGCAGATATTTATGAGCCATGGAAATTGTTTCCTTCATGTATGATTTCTCTGGATGTAATTTTGAACAAGTTGCTGCTGTTTTTCAGTCAGTGTCTTAACCCACACAAGTGCTGTGTCTCCAAGGGTACTTTCCCCTAGGAAAGCTGCATTCCCTGGGCTTCCACGGTTTAACTTGGGCTGTGCACGTCCATTGCAAAGATCTCACTGCCAAGTTCTCTGACACATTTGCTATCAAAGTGATATCTTCTCCAATGTTTTTGCAGCATCTGTGAAAGTACTGAAGAGCATGTGTGAGAACTTCTATAAGTATGCAAAACCGAAAAAAATCCGAGTCTGTGTTGGGACGTGGAATGTCAATGGGGGGAAGCAGTTTCGAAGTATTGCCTTCAGAAATCAAACCCTCACTGACTGGCTCCTGGATGCACCAAAGTTAGCTGGGATCCATGAATTCCAAGGTAGGATTTGTGTTCTGTCATTACTTTTTCTTGAAAACTCTGGTTTTTCTAAGTAGATCACGAACATTGGAAAAGGTATCACAGAAGTGTAGAACTTTGTAGGAAGGGACTGTAAAGATCCAGTGCCACCCCCTGCCATGGCAGGGACACCTTCCACTGTCCCAGGCTGCTCCAAGCCCTGTCTAACCTGGCCTTGGACACTTCAGGGATCCAGGGGCAGCCACGGCTTCTCTGGGCATCCTGTGCCGGGGCCTGCCCACCCTCACAGGGAAGAATTTCTTTCTTAATATATACATATATATATATATATTTATATATATGAGGTCTTGATTCTTAAGTGAATTAGAAGCAGGCAATAACTTTTTCCCTGTTTACCTCAAGATCGCAAAAACAAACCTGTGGACATATTTGCCATTGGATTTGAAGAAATGGTGGAGTTAAATGCAGGAAACATCGTGAATGCCAGGTGGGTGATCCAATCCACACAGTACTAGTTTGACTGATGATCACCTTTTTCAAGTCATATGTTATTTAAAATTTTGGTTACTCCAGTGCTTCTTCACTGTGTTCTTCATTTCCTGTGTCTTGTATTGCTGGGAACAGCAAATCCTGTGAAAATGTTTCCAAAAGCATGTGGTGTTGGTGTGCTGTTATGTTATAGGCTGTGATCTGTATAAAGGAAGGATTCCTTCTATACTGTTAGTTTTCACTGCCACTGCATGTATTGCACAGATATATTACTGTGGAGTTAGGATTTTTCACTCCTTGCAGACTGGGTTATGGAAATACCTTTTTTCCTGGTGATGGGTGATGCCCGTGATAAATGTGTGTGCAGTCCTAGGACCATATTCCCAGTGTCCATTGTTTTTTCTGCCTGCTTTGCATGTTTCCTGGCGTTAGGGAAGGTTGAACTCGTTGGGGAAGAGCTCCTAAAGCCTATCGTGCTCCTAAAGCCTTTGTGCAGACTTTTGTCTTTTGGATAGCAAGTGTCAGCTTGTCATCCCCTAATTTCACTCTAGGTGTAGTTAATGCCATTTCCAGGCCTGGTATTTTTCATTCCTATCTGGTGTTGGCTCTGAAAACCACAGTCTGTTCAGTCCCTAAGGATGTTTTGTCTCCATCTGAGACTGTGGACAGCTGTTTTCCAATATTGACTGACATCTAGGCTAGGAAGTAGCTCTCTAAAACAATTCTTAGGTTTTGCTTCTCTAGTCTAGGCTGATAAATGCAGCAAAGGTAGCCGTGGCTCTTAAAGTTGTCTGTGGTGTTGGGAAAAGTGAGGCTAGAAACATGCTCAGTTGGGTTTATTTCCAACCTGGTGTTTTGAATCTCCCCACCAGCACCACAAATCAGAAGCTCTGGGCTGCTGAGCTGCAGAAGACCATCTCCAGAGATTACAAGTACGTGCTGCTGGCTTCAGAGCAGCTGGTGGGTGTGTGCCTCTTCGTGTTCATCAGGCCCCAGCACGCTCCCTTTATCAGGTCAGTGAGTACAGCCAGCTCCAGCTCGGGTCACCCTCCCTTGCCTTGTGCTGCAAAGGAACCCCCAGACATCCTCAGAGCCATGTGGGCCTCTGAAAGGGCTGTTCCACCTTCTGCTGAAGCAGCTGTTGAAGTTCTTATGTCTGAGCTTTTAGATTCCTTATTGGTCGCCCAGAGAGTTTGGAAAGCTGAGGTTTTATCTCGTTACTGCTCAGTAACGAGATAAAACTTTAACTTTTAAACAGTAGCTTTTTAAAGCTAGCCCTGTGGCTGGGAGAACAATATGTCCCTCCCAGAGATGTCTGTGCCAGGTTCCTGGAAGGTTTCAGAGTTGTTTCACTATTTCAGGGATGTTGCTGTGGATACTGTCAAGACTGGCATGGGAGGAGCCACTGGGAACAAAGGTGCCGTGGCCATTCGGATGCTGTTCCATACCTCCAGCCTTTGCTTTGTGTGCAGTCATTTTGCTGCAGGGCAATCCCAAGTCAAGGAGAGAAATGAAGACTTTGTAGAAATATCTCGCAAGCTTGGCTTTCCCATGGTAAGCATGGTGTTCAGATTCCATAACAAAGGAAAAGTGAAACCCTTGGAGCTCCAGCGGTGGCATCCCAAAGCTCCATTTGCATTTTTTCCCCTCCCCAGTTTCCTGTGGAAGTCAGATTTCCTTGGGTTAGAGATCTCAGGGATAAGAGAGTTCCCACAATGTTCATTGAAATAGAAGACTGCAGAGAGCACAGACCTTGCCAGTGCAGTGTCAGGTGATGGAACCTGAGCTCACTTGCATTTGGAATCGAGGACTTAGCACGGGAGAGAGACCTTGTGGATCCCTGGCATGCAGTAGAACTTTGGTAGGCACAGGAGACAATCACCTGTGAGACAGCAGTCACTGGGAAACAGCACTGCTCTCAGTACACAGCCGTGATTCTATGGCATGTCCTCATAAACGAGCACCGTGTTCTCGTTACCAAACATCAAGTTGAAAATGTGCAAGAAAATGCTTGCTTGCAAACTAAGGCTGTTTTAAATTTTGACATCAGACTATAATTTGTTTATTTCTGTGGCACTGTGCAGGAGTCCTCCATCTTATTTTACAGGGAGTTTTTATCTTCTAAATTTGTCCCCACTGTCATGTTTCAGTTTACCTAGCGAGTTCTGTATCCAAGAGTTTCCTAAAGGCTGCTATTTCAATCTGCCAGTGTGTCTGCTTGGTTTTACTTATGGGCAGTGGAAAAAATCAAAACAGAGGGGGAAGTAAAAGGTTTCACTCTAAGCCCTGGGCTTTGTTTAAACTAATAAATCCCTTACGTTTCTCTCTAGTGATGAAATTCAGATGTAACTGAAAAGTCTTCAGTTACATCTGAATGATAAAACTCTGGATTTGCAGTTTGTCAGGAAAAATGTGCCACAAAGTCCCAGGGGGGTGTTTTGTTCTCCTCTGACACAGGCAGCAGCCATTGCCTTTGAGCAGACTTGTAAAACAGGAGTAGGAAGATGAAGAATTTTAGAATCCAATTCAGTTGATTCGTGTTTCTTTAGAAATGCAAACTCCACAGGAAGTGTTACTTCTCTTGGGTTCCGTCTGTGAACACCACACTGGTGATTGTGTTGTTCTAACCATAGGGACACTAAACACTAGGATGTTTATTTCACAGCTAAAAACTGAATTTGTGAGCCTGGAAGGAGTACCTTTGTCACTCAGTTGTTTTTAACCCCAGTGTGTGCTGGTGTTTGACAGGGAAGGATGCTCTTTTCCCATGACTATATTTTTTGGTGTGGGGACTTCAATTATCGAATAGATTTGCCCAATGAAGAGGTGAAGGACCTACCACAACAACAGAACTGGGATGCCCTCATAGCAGGAGACCAGCTTATCAATCAAAAAAACTCTGGACAGGTATGTTTAAACGTCACCATACTTGAGAATACTTCGGGTTTTTTACTGGTTTTAACAATTCTGTGATGTTCCTGTAAATCTGTATCCTCAGCATGGAGTTTTCTAATTACAGTGTTTTTCTTTTTGTCAGATGTAACTATTTAAAAAGAATACTCGTAATGTTTGGTCATGTTACTCTTTAGTGAAATTGTAGTAGTTCTAATGCTGTTACTGTGGGGAAAAGGAGTGGTCCAAATGGCAGCTTTTTTATTCGCAAGGAAAACACAGAATAACCAAGTCTGAAGAAAGCTACGTTTTTTTAGATTTGTAGGGTTTCTTGTTGTCTCTTTGCAGCTCTGTGTGGGAAGGCAGGTATGGTAAAAAGAGAGACAGTCTTCCATTTTTGGTTCTGTCTGCCAGGGCTTTGATCACAGGCAGTGCTTTGGCTGATTTAGAGTTCTCTTCCATTTGTGCTGCTATCTTGTGCACCAGAACAGCAGGCAAAACTCGGGATATTTTTAGTCTTTTTTTAACAGCTGCTTCCTAAAGAAAGCAAGCTGTACATTCACATGGGCAGCCAGCATTGCTTGTCTGTTCAGTGGATCAAAACATGATGTGTAGAGGTTTTGGAGCCACGTCCAGCAGTTGTAAAGCTGGAGAGCTGTGTGGGAACTGGCAGAATATGAACAGGACTCCTGGCTGGGGGAGCAGGGGTAGCACTGCACTGTTGGGGTGATATTCCATGGTTTAGGAGCTGTGGCTGGGTACCAGCCCTGCCCCTGGGGGAGCTCCACCTCTGTACCTGCTGCTCAGCAAAGGTGTTCACGCAGCAACTTGCTGCATGAAAATGGGCTAGAAAATAATTACTGAGGGCAAACAAATGAATTGTCTCACAAGCTGTGTAACTTAAGGCATTCTGATATTGACTTTTACTGGATTTCAAATTGTGTTTCCAACAAGAAAAGCAGGTCAGCCTGTCACCTGATGCAGATTTGACTGTAAGATCCAAGTTAGATTTCACTTTTATAGATCTCTGAAGTGGAGGAAAGATGCCCAAAGAAGGTTGAACTCCAGAATTGAGCTGACTGAGTTAGCTAAAGAGTTTTATCTTGTGTCCAGCTTAAACACTTGATGAGTGAGAAGCTCACTTTGAATGCGTTGAATGTAATAAAGACTTGGGGGTGTTGTGGTTTTTTTTAAAAATCCTGTTTATTTATTTATTTGAGGGGGCGTCTTGTGCCAGCTTTTCCCTGGAAGTGTTCAAGACCAGGTTGGATGGCACCCTGGGCAGCCTGGTCTCGTGAAAGGCATCCTTGCCCAAGGCAAGGGATTGGAACTAGAGGATCTTTAGGTCCCTTCCAACCCAAACCAGTGTTCGAGTCTGTGAGTTTGTGAGGACATTTGGCATGTTCAGGTGGATAAAACGTGAACCTGAATTTCCAAATTTTGCTCTCACAGGAAACAAGCAAGCACCAGATTAAAATGCTGTGTTACAGCATCAGTGTTCTGGGTGACCTCCAGTTGGTCATGACATTGAAGGAACAGTAGGTTCTTCGTAAGCCTGGGCTTAAAGATATAACTGCTGCCATACTTCTGTTCACTGATGATTGTCTGGGTCGCTATTTAGTCATAGTGTCAAATGTTTTCAGCAGACAAAATGTGGAGAGGAATCCATTTTAACAAATAACAGGTTGTTTTGTTTTGTTTATTTTATTCTGTGGTGTTTACACAGGTTGTCAGTGTTGGCATAGAGAATTCTGATTAGTTTCGAGCTGTTTCCCATCTGTTTGTGTCTTTTGTTTTTTACAGATTTTTAGGGGGTTTCTGGAGGGCAAGATCAATTTTGCCCCCACGTACAAATACGATCTGTTCTCTGATGACTACGACACGAGCGAGAAGTGCCGCACGCCGGCGTGGACAGACCGCATCCTCTGGAGGAGAAGGAAATGGCCCTTTGACAGATCAGGTGGGAGCGTTTCCTTCTTGTCTGCAATGCTCTTTAGGTGACTTGGAGGATCTGTGTAGCAATGTTCACCTTGCCAGTGCTGCCCAGCTTGGTAGGAGACAGAACGCTCGTCACAGACCTTCAATAAACGCAGCCAGGCTGAACAAAGGGCCACGAATCACCTGCCAGTTACTGACATTTGAGAGTGGAAAAGGAACTTGGGGAGGGTGGTTTCTGTAGGACACTCAATTTGGGTTTACTTTCGATGTTTCTTCTTTTTACGAATAGCACATCCTTGCAATCGCTGTGTTTTTCCTCTTTTGTTTTCATTGCTGATTGTAGCTGAAGACCTGGATCTCCTGAATGCAAGTTTTCACAGCGACACCAATGTCCCTTACACGTGGAATCCTGGCACTTTGTTGCACTATGGAAGAGCAGAACTGAAAACATCTGATCACAGGTTCCTGTTGAATTTTGTACATTACTTCCTAAGATTTAGTGTTCGTGCTGTGTACTTTGTTGCTCAGATGCTCTGCTGACTGGATTTTCTTGTCTGTTCTTTCCAAGGCCCGTGGTTGCACTGATTGACATTGACATATTTGAAATTGAAGCAGAAGAGAGACAAAAAGTGTATAAGGAGGTGATTGCAATGCAAGGACCACCTGATGGTACTGTGATGGTCTCCATCAGAAGTTCTTCAGCAGAAGAAAACTATTTTGATGATAACTTGATTGATGATCTTCTTCAAAAATTTGCAAGCTATGGTGAAGTTATACTTATAAGGTTAAAACAAAACCTTTTTACTTTTAATTTCTGCTTATAGAATCATGGAATTGTCTGGGTTGAAAGGGATCATCCAGTCCCACTTGCTGCCATGGGCAGGGACACCTTCCACTGTCCCAGGTTGCACCAACCTCACCTTGGACACTGCCAGGGATCCAGGGGCAGCCACAGCTGCTCTGGGCACCCTGTGCCAGGGCCTGCCTGGCCTGCCTACCCTGCCAGGGAACAATTCCTTCCCAATATCCCATCTTACCTTCTGGCAGTGAGAAGCCATTCCCCCCGTGTCCTATCTGGACTTGGACCTGCTGGAGCACGTCCAAAATTCATTGTTACCACCAATTTCCTGAATAAAGTTATTTCCTTAGCTAGCTTTTCAGTTAGGATCTGTTTCATTTTTAACATTTGGATTTCAACTTGAATGTCTTTAGAATTCGTTTTACATACCTGTATGTGTCTCAGTTTTCAGACATGATTTTTCCAGATACTCTTATTTTTGGGCATCTTATACAAATTTTGTATTCTAGGATTAGGTTAGTAGTTTTAAATGAACTGAAAATGAGGATGTTGCATTTTCACTGGGCTGGAAATTGTACTATTAAGTGTTGTGGTATTTTACTGGTTATTGTTTCCAATGAACTTTGCAGGTTTGTGGAAGACAAGATGTGGGTAACATTTTTGGAAGGAAGCTCTGCTCTGAATGTTATGAATTTGGATGGTATCGAGGTAATGTAAAAATGACTGAACCTTCATATAGCAAGAGAAAATCCAGCTTTTTTTAAGTCTCCTTGAGTGGGTTGGTTTTTTTGTTTGTCTTTGATTCTTACAAGTTTGTTCTGTTCTGTTTTTTTTTTTTTTTTTCTTTTGATAGCCGCATACCGGTATGCTGACTTTCAAAAGCCACATAAAAGAAGTATCAAACTTAATTTATTCATTTATTGTTATTTAGGAGGAGTATTGTTAGAGAAAGTAAGATGTCCTACTGAGAGACATCTTCATCAAGTTTTAACAAGCAGAGTTAATTTCCTGAATGAACCAGTTTAAAATCTTTATACCCTGCAGTTATTAAAAATTTAGCACTTCTGTGTTGCCAGCTCTGAAAAAAGCTCAGAATTTCAGCTTGCATTGACTTCTATGGGGTCAGTATTTAATCTTTGTGAAAATGTAACTTCTGATGTTCAAATTGTTACCTGTCTGTGGCTGTTAAGACTCAGCATGTGTGATATTTACAGATGGATCCTTGGATCTGCTCAGATGTCACTGGCAGTTCCGACAGGAAAGGGGCTCTGGGTAGAATGGCAATTTGCAGAATGAGGACCTGCTCTGTGCCAGCCTCCGAAAATGACTTTATCTATGTAGTTTATAAGCAAGTCGATTTTTCTTTTTAAATAATAGTGTTTCTGTCGGAGTAAAGAAACAAGAGGCTTCCTGATGAACTGAACAGGGGAACCGTAGGAGATGAGTTGCTAGTTTTTCTACAAAAATATAAAATTAAATTGTTGTAATGAACAGTTTAAATTATATAAATGTAGTTACTTATCAAAATTAAGTGAAAACGAGAATTATTTTTGTTTAGTTGTTTAGTTAGAAATTCCGATAAACTGATTTGTGATACTTTCGGGAATTATTTTTTTTCCTTCTTAAATCTCAAATGCTGAGCTTTAGTATTCCAACACTTTATGACTTCTGTTTTGTGCATAACTTTTTTTGGCAATTCAGCTACAAGGAAGGATTATAGACATCAACCTGAAAAATCCAGATTGGATCAGAAGTTTGGAAGATGAAATGAATCTAGAGAAGATTAATATTGGGCTGCCTTCATCAACAAGCTCCACTTTGCTTTGTGAAGATGCTGAGGTTACTGCAGACTATGACATGGAAGGTTTGTGGAGATAAAGCATTCCTTACTTTGAAATGCTTGCAGTCCTAAATAGTGTGGTTAATTTCATGCATGTATAAATACGTAACAAGTTTATGCCCATCTAAAAGAGATGAGAAATCACATAATGTAGCCGTGGAATGGGGTTTTAACCCTTTAAGTGCGGGGGAAATAAGATGCACAGCTACATGGTCATATTTCATGACAGGAAGAAAGAGACAAGTTTATTCAGAAATACACTTGGTTTTATAGCATGACTTGTAATTTCAAGAGTAGAGAAAAGGTGATTGGTTCAGAGAGAAGACACCCCATTGCCAGGGCCTGGTCACACACCACAATAGGTGTTCTATCTTTGTTATTAATTCCTTTTTATTTTGACTAAATTATCACCCTGGGAGCCATTCTCCCTAGCCTTGAGCTGGACCAGCTTATCGGCTGGGAACAGAGCTGAGAAGCTCCAGCCTGGAATATTTTTCAGGCTGTAATTTTCTTACTTTCTCAGTATGTGTCCCACAGCATTATTTCCAACAGTATCCCGACAATCTGCTTCACTCTTGTCTCCATTTAAATGCATTCCGAATTGACAGTTTGCTCTGCAAAAGGACATCCACGCTGAGCCTTTTTTCAAAACATCATTCCACCTTTTGCAAGCAGAAGTTACTACAAATAACAGATACCTTGAAATCCCCTGCCCAGCCCTCTGAAGAGCAAGTGAACCTTGCCATATTGCAAACCAAGGAAATAGCCTGTAAAGCTAATTGTTTCTTAGATTAGTCAGCTTCACAGTTGCCACGCTGTTGGAATTACCTTTAATACCTATCTGTGATATATATTACTAATTTGAAGTGTTTCCAACTGGTTTGAATATATACATAGTGTTCTTCACGTGTAATTTTGGGATGCAAGAATCGTACTTTGGTTGCTGAGCTAATTCCTTGGAGCTCTGGGGCTTTTCTTGCATAAAATCCCATGCCCAGAATCAGTTTTGACGTTCCTTTCTGCTCTGGGGCTTGTTGTGTAGGAGACATCGATGACTACAGTGCCGAAGTAGAAGAAATCCTTCCTCAGCACCTGCAGCCGTCGTCGGGCTCGGGGCTGGGCGCCTCCCCGGGCTCCTCGCCGCGCTCCAGCCCCTGCCAGTCGCCGACGCTGTCGGAGGGACCCGCGCTGCCAGTGAGACCCAGCCGAGCCCCAGCCAAGTCCCCTGGGCCTCCTGTGTCCACGCAAGGTCAGTACTGCACAGCTCCACTGCCCCAAGGACTGCCACCCCCAGCTGTGTCCCTAGAACCCTGCCTCGCCCCGGTCATGCTCCCAGAGTGCAGCCCCTGGCAATCCCTGCCCCTGTCAGCTCCCAGGCAGGAATTGTCATCAGCACGTTTGTGAATTGGGAGCCCCGCATGAAAACTTCTGTTTAAGCACAGCCTTTCTTAAATGATGAAGTGAGCATGTGAACGCAATGATGGCGTTTGGAATGGAGTTTGTTTTAACTGCTCAAATGCCTTGAGAATTCCCTTTGTGGCATTTTATTCCAGAGAACTTAATTCACAGGTAAGGGTCAAAATCAAAATCTGGAATGCTGCAATTGGTGAGATTGTTCAGGAGTTCATGAAAAACATAAATTTATTACAATACATGAGGCCGATGTTTCGGTTTAGGAAATCGCTTCTTCTCATTCCTATTGTTTTCCCTCTCCCAAAAACTCCTGGATCATTGCTTCCAAGGCTGGGGTCTGACTCTCTGTCCTCTCTCTGTGGGAAAAGCTTGCTATTAGAAGAGCTTTACTGGGATTAGACCATCCGAGATATTTATTAATTTTTGCACTGTTTTCTGCCGTCCCCCTCAGCCGACGTGCAGAGTGGTGGGCAGCAGAAGGAGCCTCCCCAGAGCCTGGAGCCCAAGCGTCCCCCACCCCCTCGGCCCGTGGCTCCTCCTGCTCGTCCTGCTCCTCCCCAGCGGCCACCTCCACCCTCAGGTAATGGGGCACCTTCTCAGGGGCTGGCAATGGCTGCTTTCAGCTCTGTGACGTGGGCTTGAGGGTGCAAACCCAAACTGCCTATCACTCTTGGGGCTCGCTGGTTTCTAACTGAAATATTTCACTGGTACATTTAAAAGCAGTAGCAGCATGAGAAGTAACAGCGTTTTTACCGTTGAAGTATTATTAGTGAATAAGTTTATAAAAACTTATTTTCACACTTTTAAGAATGCGAAATTTTACAGCAATGTTTACTCAACATTTTCATTTTCTATAGCATCTGTTTTAAAATAAAATAGAAATCAACTTGTGCATTCATCGATTCATTGCTATTCCTTTAATTTTGGCATCAGTATGTATGCACTTTATCATGTCCAAGTTTTTATTGTAGACTTCATTTGGATCATCTGCCAATGTGAACAATTGAGCACTAGGAGAAACTGGATGTTCAGAAGCATTTGGGCAACACAGTTAATAACAAACTGACTCTTTAATGATTTTTAACTTTCTCATTCTTTTTCTTCCCTCCTACTGTACTGATATTTTTCATTATTGCTGCATTCATTTCTTAAATACTGTCAGGCGGTAGGAGTCCTGCACCTGCTAGAAAAGAATTTGGAGGTAATGATTTTAATTGTTTTTGAATATGACTGCATAGGGGATCTGTTGTGACAATGCTTAACGTGATGATTTCCGAAAGGATAAAAATGGGCAATTCTCAAAGTTTCAGAGCTGGATAGTTCATGAATGTCACTGTGATTTCTTTCTTCCCCCTCTGAACTATGCTTGACTTTTCAGTGAAATAGTCTTTGTCCAGAAGTTGGGACTTTAAAGTCAGAGATGAAGGTCGTTCCAGGTTTTTATTACTTTGTCCTGGGTGAATACATCCAGCTTACTTTTCTGTGAAGTGCTTCTTCAAAGTAGTCTCTGTCCTTCTCTGTCACACATTTTGCTGTCCTTTGATTGGACTTAAATCAGCTCATCAATACATGAGAGAGGGTAAGAACTGTTAGTGGCACTTCCAGGCACTGCCTCTCAGTGGGTAAGAAAAAGGAGGTTTTGACAAAACGCTTCAAAAGTTTTGAGTAATCTCAAAAAATACATTAACTATTTTGCATAGCCTATAATTATCAGCTAACTTTGGTGTCAGGCAAAAATGCACTTGGCTCTTAGATACTGGTGAGACAAGGAGGTTTTTATGCCTGGCATGTAATATTTGAAATGAGTTGAAGTGCAGAAGCTTTAGGAAGCAGCTGATAGACCATATTGAACACAGGTGAGATGTAATTCCTTGTTCTTCAGGGCTGTGTAGATTTCTGTGCACTGACACAATCCTGTTTGCCTGCTTTGTCTCAATTGTGCAAAGACTACTCAGTTGTCTTCTTTTCTCCTCTTTCCCAGCATAGCTTTCCATTGAGTTGTAACTTGCATAAAACTTGCTTTTTATGCAATCATTTGAGAATGTAGTATATTTTTTCATGTATTAGTCCAACCTCAAGCTCTTCAGTTTTTTTCTCCTCTCCATTCTCCACTCATGGTGTACATGTATAAGCATAAATACACGTGCTTATCATGGATGTCTGAGCTCAGCTCAAGCAAGTTAGCACGGGGCTGGAACCAAGATGAATGTGCTTATGTGTTACTTTAGTGGGAAAGGGCACCTGTTTGTCTTCCCTAGGAGGAAGGCTCCTAAAGCTCTGTGGAAATATCCCTGTGTAGTGAGTAAGTGCGTCAAACTTTGAGTTTAGACTTCTGTAGCACATGCAAAGGGACATTGATCATGTCTTTAAAGTGCTGTGCCTTTTAAATGTTACTTTTTTCCCCTCACATGTTTTTGACTATTTATTCCCCAAGTGCTTCAGTCCCTTCAATAGCCATGGCACTTTTCCTAATGGCTCAGTATGCTTTGAGGATGAGAGGAGGATTTTGGCATCTAAGTGTTTGAGTTTGGTCATATTTTGTATCAGAAGTAACTCAGAATTCAAGTGAACAGGGCTCTGCACTCACTGCAGGGCTTTACAGTAAAGTGTAGACCTTTCGTATGCAATACAAAAAGAATTTCACTGGGGAATCTACGAGCTCCAGTTGTTTATAGCTAAAAATTTCAATGTTGCACTCTGTTTACGCAATATTTTTTTAATACATTACAGATTAAATTTTCAGAGAACATGAAAAACTATAAAGGCTGCTAATTGTCAATTGAAGTTAATAAGTAAGATTAGTGAGTTTTTTTCCTGTAATACTAGTCGTCAGGGTTTTCCTGACTGTTGCGGTCAAGGCTTTTTTCATTGGCTTAAACTGTTCTTCAGTGTCCGTAAGATGAAAATATTCCTGTGCCGCCCTTTGTGATAGCATTATCACAAAGCAGGAGGACTCTGCTTTCTCGCTCTTGAGGAGAGTTAGGAGGCAGTGACATCTCAGGTGTTTACCCTCTGTGCCGCTTCTCTCCCGTGTAGTGAAGGTTTTTTTCACTTGCCAATTCCCGAGCCCAGAGCCTCGCTCTCTCTGCCCGCTGCAGCGACACGGGGACGTGTGCCTGTGTGTCCCTGCTGCTGAAAGGAGCTGCCTTCGGTCCTCCTGCACAAAACAAGAGCAGTGCAATGGTGCTGGCCAGTGCCCCGCTCCTGTGCTGCAGCAGCTTCCCTGCTGCTCCTCTCAGCCAGTCCTTCACGGTCAGAAACTCGTGAGGGCATTGGCAGAGCCTGGCTCTCAGCTACAGCAGATGACACCTGCTAGGATTTAGCATCTTGTAAGCAGATGTTGAGCCAAAGCAGAGATCTGACATTTCTGGACACAGTCCCCTTTCAGCCTCATGTGCTGCCTTCACTCTGCCCGCTCTGTGACAGAACTCCCAGGTCACAGAGAGCTCCTGGGCAGATCTCACACGTGGGCACATGGTGAGAAAGCAGGAGGCTGTGTCATAGCTGAGGGATGCCTTCAGGGTTTCTGTCATGTCTGTGTCCTGCCATGTTTTTGCCATACAGTTTCAGGAACCCAGTATATGCTTGATGATATTGCAGGAATAAAAAAATTCAGCATGGTTACGCACGATTGAAAATCTTCTTTCTCTCAGTCTGACCTCTTAAACCCATTGGTACAGCTGTCCCAAGTGCACAGTGCTGTGTGGAGGCAACTTTGTAATACAGTTCTTCAGGGTACAGTACCTTATACAAAGTGGGAAGCATTGCTTTCATGGCATTTCTTACTGAGACGTACCATGGCAGAAACAGACTGCTCAGTGTTCTGAATGACAGAGATCAGGTTTAATGGTGCAGGGCCTAAGTGCTGTGCACCTTTTTTGCCCAGTGTTTGGGTACAGGTCTGTGCTCGAGACCAGCATGTCAGATCACACTGGATAGCAAGAAGTTAGTGGAGAATGAACATTTTGAAGGAATGAAATTATCTTTTCACTGTAATGTAAAATTAAAATAACAGATGTTATTAAACATGATTGTACTTGATTGTACTTTATGATTTATAATTGGCACCAGTCTGGCTCCCCATGCTGCTACAAACAGATATTTCCTGCAGGTGACTGTAATCTATCTAGACCAGAATTAAACTGTGTAAAGCTGTCTTGTGGCAGTGTTCTTTCTGTTTTTTCTTTCTCAATCTTCTGCTTTTCTTATGCAATGTACAGCTTCTCTTCTTTCTCTGAAAAGGTCTTGGAGCTCCTCCCAGTCCTGGGGTAGCTAGGAGAGAAGTAGAAGGTAACAGAACAATTTTTATATTCTAGAAATGGATTTCTGATTTAACACCCAAGTAATATTATTGCCCTTGTGACACTAAAGGTGGTTTCTTGAAGATATTTATCATGTGGGATCTTCCTTCTTTTATTTAGCATAGCTTTCACCCAGCCAGGTTACTTCCTGGTTTTCAGTGGTGGTGGGAATTGTTACTGAAGGCATTTATGAAAAGTGAAGTGAAAACTTAGAGTGCCCTAATTAAGAATGCTTTTCAGGCTGACCCTCAGAGGAAGCTGTAGCTGACTGCTCATCAGAGTGACTATTATACCTGGAATTAAATCAGGAATCTAGGGAGCCTGCCTTTTCATAAAGGACTACGTACATTCATATATTCTGGGGAGAGAAACTTCCATTTAAACCGTTTGGTCTATAATTGAATGTTTTGCCTCTTTCTAAAGGACACCATGTAGGTATTTTGATTCTGACAGCCAGCTGTGTGTTAACACACAGTTATGAGGAGCATTTCTCCTGCACCATTCTGGTTGGAATACATGGGACTGCTGCTGGATGGGTCCTGCTTTAGCCATGCCAGCAGATGCACGGGCTTGGGTTTCTTCCTTGTCTCTCAGGAATGTGTTCTTGACAGCAGATAGCAATACAAGTCCTTAATAGAGTCACTGGCAGGGTTTCCTCCTGTATGCCACAGTTAATTTTGGCTGCGTTGCTGGTTCATTTTTCTAAATTGGCAAAGTCACTCTCTACGCATGCAGGGTTTGAGGTCGGTAGGCATCTTTGGTGGTTGTCCACTCCAGCTTCCTGCTCCAAGGAGGGTGAATTGGCACCGGATTGCTCAGGGTGGGAGCTGCAGCACTGAGAACAGTATCCAGAAGCCCATTCTGACTGCTTCTGGGGCAGTCTGAAAGCTGGAAGCTGATCTGATCAGCTGTATGGTGCACCACAGAGTTCCTTCCGTTTACTGTCACTGGCAAGGTAACTTTGCTTTCCTGGGAAGTAAGCAGCACAAACTCAAGCCAGAATCCTAAGCCTCCTGGCCTGTTAGAAATTGTGCACTTGTCTGAGCTCAGCGCAATTTTTTCATCTCTCACACTGCCCAGTTTGAATGCTGTGTCTTAGGTTGCCATCAGCGTGGCTGTGGTGGAGCTGGTGCTCTAACAGATTTATGCCAGAGACACAGAGAGTAGGTTCAGAAACTGTTACATCAGTTCTCTTTGTTTTAACCTCTGCTGGTAGAGCAGCTACAGAATAAACCATGAAACAGAACAGCTTCCAGTACAGTTGGGAATTCAGGGTACCTGTGCAAGTGGGTGTCTTTAGCTTGCAACAAATAGGATGTGATTTCAATAATTTGTAATAAAAAGGGTCCAGTTTCTTCGTGTGTGCCGCGGGGTAGGAGTGTGTTAGTGACAGCTGGTGGATATGTAATGAATTTTGAAATAATCACTGCTATCTGCTTGCTTCCATTCTCAGTAGTAGTAATGTAACGTGGCCATCTAACGACCCGTTTGTGGCTTATCTAACACAGACAATCTAATTTCTTTTTTCCATGCTTCAAAGCACAAAAAAGCCCTGGAACACAACGAAAAGATACCTTAGGTAATAAATAGATGCTTTGTGCTAATTATAATAGAAGCAGAAGTTGATTTTGCCATAGGTGCTAAGTCAGTAATCTCTCGTGTCTGTTGCAGTTCGTAATCAGCCTCCACACGCAGCGGGTACGACCAGACCGGTAGGTATTGTTTTAACATCCTTTTCCTGCTAAGTCTCTGCTCTTTATTTCATCAAGGTTTCTGTTAGTTCATTAGAGATGGAAGAAATCTGCATCGTTGATTGGTCACCTTACAGCTTCTCTGAGTTAATTATCTCCGCAGTTCTTGTCTACTGACTAAAAACACTATGGGGGAAAAAAACCACCACGTGTATACACACTGGGTGTGACTTGATTGTTTTGCACTCTGCAATCACATAACAGGCTCCCAAATACACATTTTACATTTCCTTTCAAACAACTGCAAAAATACTCTTTGTATCAGATGTCCTTACTGATTTGGTGTGATAAAATGCATTATCTTCTGTACTAGAGCATAAATCGTGATGGCAGTTAATTGCTGACAGGCCATTAATGGATTACATAAGCAATTGACATCTTAGGATTACTTGATGTCTTATGGAGTTTTGTACCTTGTTTTAGAGACTAATTTTCTTGAATGTCTTAATGTAGAAATGAAATATTCAACTGTTGCAGCAAATATGAGTCCTTTATTTGTGGAACTGAACTGAAGGAAGGGAATCAAGGGGCTTATGGGCATTTATTCAAATATTTCACTCCACACAGGAAATCAAGAGATAAAATGTGTGCCTATTTTTTCTTAACAGTAGCAAGTAGGAGCCTTGCATGAGGGAAGAGGAAAGTGTTTTAGTAGCTACAGATCTTCTTAAGGAATTACTGAGTAATGGGATTGTCTCTTGATAATTCTTTGACTCCACAGCACATTCCAGTATTGGAACTGCTGAAAACGGCTGTTGAAAGTCTCCATTGAAATAAATTTTACCAATTCATTTTTCTCAAAGAGATTGATTCTCACAGTGAACAATTCCTGGTCTTGGCTCTTTTTTTATTTTCCTTGAAATGTAAAATGGCCTCTTCTAAAATTTGGATGAAGAAAAACTGGTATATATAGGAAAGGATGCATTCATTTATCATTGTGTGCTTCCGTTTTTTTTTTTCTCCTCATGATCTGGAGCTTGCACAGGATTTGCCATTTCTAAATCAGAAGAAAATCCTGTGTACTTCTGTACATCACAGAGAATTCACCAATGTCTTGTTGCTCTTGCTGGTTTTGTTGCTTGCAATTCCCAGACTCGGGCAAATTTCTTGATTTATACTGTCAAAATAGTAACTGTGTCTAACATCATTGCACAGGTAAATATTTATATAGAGTCAAAAACCATTGTAAAAATCCCTCGAACTGAATCATCATCATGTTTTGAAAATACATTCTTTGTCCTTGCATGTGTGTAAAAAAATCCAATCAGCGGCTGTTATTGAAGAATTTATTTTTCACAGAATCCTGATTATCATGAGTCATTTAGCAGTAGATGACTGCAGATCCAAAGGTGAACTAAAATACTTCCTTTTTGCCTGCTTTGCTGTCAGACTGTTCCTCCTCGAGCTGGAGTTATCAGTGCCCCACAAAGCCATGTCCGTCCCTCGGGGGCAAGACCAGCACCTGAAAGTCAGAGCAAGCCAGCTGAACCACCAAGGGGTAAGTTTGCTTTAGAAGTCAAATACAGATGTCTCTGTTCAGTCAAGCGCTGCAGGCTATGGTTTGAATGCTTTGTTTTCAACAGATGTCTCCACTTTCCACTAGAATTTAAGGTTCTTGGATGTGGTAGCATTTGGCAGTTGGTGTTAAGCATCCACAAGCATTGCAGACCCTTTCCAGATGCTAATCTCAAGATCACAGGAGATGTTGAGCCCTAGATTCCATGGTATCAGAGGAAGTGTGCAAAGATGGCAGTGTCTGGTCTGAGCACGCTGATGTGTCCTGTTCTGGCTGTTGATCACCAGACACTCTGAGCATTGGTAGTTCTGTAATCATAAGGTTTGGAATAGCATTTATGTCTGCCTCTCAAAGCAACTTCCTAAACCTTTAAAAAAATCCCTTGACCTTTATAAGTATAAAAATACACTTTTTATAATAGTGACTTCCAAAGTACTTTTCAACACAACTGAAGTACATTTTGGAGTGACGTGGCTTCTGGTTGAGTTTTGTGTGAAATCACAGCATGGTTGGTGTTGGAAGGGACCTTGAAGATAGTATAATTCCCATTCCCTGCCATGGGCAGGGCATCTTCCATCATCCCAGGCTGCTCCAAGCCCCAGTGTCCAGCCTGGCCTTGGACATTGCCAGGGATCCAGGGGCAGCCACAGCTGCTCTGGGCACCCTGTGCCAGGGCCTGCCCACCCTCACAGGGAGCAATTCCTGCCCACTGCCAGCTTAAACTTAAGTAGCAATTTTTTATGGACATCTGCTGAGTTTTTAATGGTTTCCAGGCCTGTTGCCATGAACACCTGCTGTTCTTGGAGCCCCTACTCTGCAGCTCTCTGATGGTTCCCCATCCTGCCATCCCTAAGATTCGGTACAATTCCTTACCATGACAATGACTGCAGGTGTACTTCCAGGCTCACCATTGCTTCCTGAGCCACTGAAGCCTCAGGCTGCTGGCCCTGCTCAGCCCAGCACTCCCGTGCTGAGGATGCAGGAGCCCCTGATCCCTGTGGCACCACATCCATCTCAGGCAAGTGCCCCACCAAGTCTGGAGCCCCCCCAGCCGCCACCTCGGAGCCGCTCATCTCACAGTTTGCCTTCTGATCCTGCTCCCTCCCAGCAGCAAGTAAGTGAAAAAACCCTTGTAGATCCCTTCTTCCACTGTGTCAATTAACACAGCTTGTGCTGGGTGCTGCAGACTTGTGGGGAACACTTAAAGCAAGCCCAGAAACTAAAAGAAAGGTCCAAAGATTGGATTCACTGGTCATGGGGCTCTAGGAGAGTAGTAATTGCTTATGTATTGTCCATGAATAACTAACGTCTTAAATACTAAACATGGAATTTAGGATTTCTTATGATGGCCTTACAACTTAGGGACAGCTCATTCTTAAAATTACGTTGTCATTTGGCAACTTTGTATGGAAAGACACTCAATCTAAGAAATTTAGTTTTATAATGATAAGTGCATGACAAGCTGTGTGATAAGTAGCTAGCACAGGTTTTAATTAGCTACTGCATGATGTCGTGCTTTATGTTGGTGATCATTCATTGAAGGGAGATGATACTAATAAATAAGGTAATAAATCAATATCTTAATAAGCACTTAAGAGAAATAGAATTTTCCCCATTCCCCAGCGTCAGTTAAAATACAGAAACCTATCCACGTAATGTGAAAGTTTCATACAGTAACATTAACATTCTGTTCTCTGGGACCTTGTATATGATAAAAAACCACCAACTTTTCCTAGGAAGAGCCATAGTTTCTTGCTACTGTTTAAAAATGCAGAGGCAGGTTTTCAGTGCTGCTCGGGTTTTCCCTTATGCCTGTATCTGAAGCCCTGTTTTGCTACACTAGTAAATGCCTGTTTCCTACCACAGTGAAGAAGTCAAAGTCAGTCTTCAGTGAGTTGACTTTTGAATTCAAATTGAAAAAAAATCTTTAATGCTTTTCCTTTCTTTCTCCTGAACCTCTTTCTTGGCTCGTGAACTGCTTTTCATTTTGGAAACTTAGACCAAAAAAATGCATTTTTCTGAGGAAAGGTCTTTAAAGAAATACAAGGTCTTTTGAGAGGCAGTGAATTCCAAGCCCATCCTTCTATGCAAGACTTGATTGTGATATTGAAGGAATTAAATCTCACCTTATAAAAATAATTGCATGTACAGTGTGAATATTCAGGGCTCTATACAGTCCATACATCGAAAAAGAGAGTTAGTTATTGTAAATAGATCTTCTTTATTTGTAAAGAAAGGCGATTCTAGAGTTGCACAGAATGGGAGGCATTATGGTTCTTTCAGCTTTCAAAACTATTACTATAGATGAGTTCCCAGGATGAGAGCTATGGGGCTTTTCATGTTAATAGGTGACTAGAATTACACCATCCCTGCTCAGATTCATCTCCAAAATGTAGCACAAGCAGCTGCACAATGACTGTCTCTATGGAAATATCATTAGAATGGACCTCAGCTGTTTTTTTTATGACTCTTAATGGTTGAGCTTGCAGTAGAAGAAAACAGAAATTGCAAATTCGGCGGTGTGTAGTAAAATACTTGTGGTTTGTATTCACAGCTCAAAAAACGGCTTTGTGAAAACTTCTGAAAGTCTTTTTAACATGAGGTTGCTTTGTTACTTGGATTTTCTTCCTAATGTTCTTTCCTTTGATGTCTGTTTCTCTTTCACAAGCAGGAGCAACCGTCAGGGTAACAGGTATCTGACTATTTACCAATCTTGTATGTGGTCTCCATCTATTCAAGCAGAAAAGATGTATGAATGTTGTTTTCATACATCTGCAGTCCCATCCCCATTAAGAACTACGTGTCTGCATTCATGGATTGACTGTCATACCATAGTTTGCTTTTTCCTTTCATAGTGCATTTAAAAATGAGACTGCATTTATTAGGGCCAGAGCAGCTGTTTTGCATCACCATCTTTTATGAAACAATTGGACCCTCACCTGTGTTGCTTAATCACTGCTGAACCTCCTGATCTTGGTCTGTTTGGGGAAAAAAAGATCAGTGTTGGCAATAAATGCAAATAAATCCTGCTGCTATTGCACTGCCAAATTTTTTTTTCAAAATAAACCCCATGTATCACATTTTTCAAGGAACAGAGAACTTACTATGACAGAAAGTAAAACAAGCTGTTTGTTACAATTTTAGAAACGTTTGATTCCAGAATCAGTCAAAGCAAATTTTTGCTTAGAAGAAGGAGCAATTTGGTTTCATAGTTTCTTTGGGATCTTGTACTTTTCAATGACCACAGGACTTAACCAGCTGGTGCCAGACTGCATTTGATTTCTATTCCTTCTACAGTTCAGTTTTTTCACATTCTCCCCTCAGTTACTGAATGCCTTCGTTTTAATATTATTATGCAAAAAAACTTCAACTGAAGACAGTCATTTCAACTGTTTGGGTATATTAAGTTTATTTGTTAAAAACATAATATCTTTTTGTGACATTTGAATACTTAGAAGCTGTTTTAACTTAGGGGAAGCTCCAAACTCTGTTCTGTCAGTGTGCATACTGAACAAAGTAGATACTCCACCTTTTTGGACAGTTTGTTCAAGGTAAAAAAGTTGCATTGTTGTTTGAAGCAGTGTATGAAAACAGGAATATTTTGGTTTTAAAAGCTGAGAAATTCTGTGGAGAAAACTGTCTTCTCCAAGGATAACTTGTTGTTTTAGTTACGAAACCAGTGATTGTCCCTTCCCATGCCAAGAAGTACTGGAGATGCCTACGGATGCCTGTCTGCATAGAAATGTCTGACTGCATATTCTAACAATACTAATGTTTCCTTTCATTGTGGTGCTTTAATGCTGCTTGTAACATCACTGTGATAAACTCCCAGGCAATGTGACCTGGAGCTTTTCATTTCATAGTCGTGCTGGGCTATCCCTGGCTTAGAATGCAGTAGCATTTCCGAACATGTTCTTATCCAAGGCTCATTTCGTGTTCTTGCTGGGATTGTGACCTGCAGGAGGTAGCTTCCAACTGCATCAGCCACCCAGGCGGGGGGAGTGGTGTTTAATGACTCCCGGCTTTTCGGTAGGCAGGGATTCAGGATGTTGTTCTCTTTCTAGTTCAAACGAAACTGGGCTGAAGTTTGAGCTGAGGAGTGAGAAGGGGGGGCGGTAGGAATGACCTGGAGCCGGCTGCGTGGTTGCTGAGCATTTTGTTTCCTTTGCAGCTGAGTCCCAACGGGCCATCCAGCACTAACCCTGAACCCCAGCTCAGCAGTGACCCTTTCGAAGCCCTGTCATTTCAGCTGCTCGTGTCCAAGATGCAGGTGTCTGTCCGAACACCACCCGCTCCAACCTTAAACCAGAAGGAGTTGACACAGTTGCCTTCAGCAAGGCAAAGAAATGCTGATAATTCCAATGCTGTCAATTGCATGCCAGCAATGCCTCCTATTCCAACCTTTCATTCATCCCGGGAACATCAGCACAGCTCTCCAAATCCATTTCTTACCGGGCTGAACTGCTCAAATCCATTCACGGAAAGAACCCCCAGTGCTGGGAACCCATTTAGGACGGAACCGCGGGAGTCGGGGGTAACCTCACAGGTACAGGTAGGACCTGCTGCTTCCCACCCCTTCCCTCCTCTGCCCGCCCCCAGCTGTAGCACAAGCAGGGCTGCATTTCCTCTGGGTGCAGCTGAAAGCACGTTGTGCTTGCCAAGTCAGTCTCTCAAGGTGGAAAACGTGCAGCCCAGAGGGTGGGTGACGTTTGACGAGGACGAGGACTTGCACACGAAGCTGAAGCCGTCTGCGAGCGTTCCGGATTTTAAACGGCTCGGCTCCGGGAAATCAGCTGGGTGCCCAGCTTTGCTGGGAGCAGAACAAAAGACTTTCCTCGGCTCAGGTTTTAACTTTGATGGTGACTGGAATAAAAGTTCTGCTGATTGCTTCTGTACAATGCCAGCAAGAAAACCACCTGCACCCCCTGTGCCATCCAGAGCAGCCAGCAACAGGTCCCCTGCAGATCCTTTCCCCTGCCCGGCACCCAAGGTGTCACCAACTCCTGATTTTACAGAAAGATAGGTGGTCAGAGATACAAAAGGTTGTATTTGTTGCTACACTTATCCAGTAGAATAACTGGGCATTTGAGATTATTCTGTGTGCAATAATTAATTGTTAAATGCACTGAAACTTAACTCTGCTCATAAACAGCCACTACTGCTTGTGTATAAATTTTGAATGTGTATATATGGTAGAGCACAAATAATGGTCTGAAGTTTATTAAAAATCTCGATGTAATAGTATTTGAGTAGACAAAAAGAGAAGAAGGGTGAGCTACTGTCTCACTGAAACCTGTCAATCCTGGACACAGATTTTGCTTAGGGAGCTCTTTCATTTCTGTTCTCCTCTGTGGAATTTGACAAGAAGAGGCTCCCTGCTGGCAGCCTCCCCCCTCCCTTTTGACTGTTTTGTTAGTTGATATTTACAAGTATTTACCAAAGAGCTGCCAAAGTTTATTGAGATTTGAATGTCGACCAGTATTGTTTAGAAGCTGTTTAATTTATAACAGAGGCTATGGATATTTGTAAGGCTTATATTTGAATTTGAGGCACAACAAAAATAGTTTACTTTCAACATAGAAACAAAACTTTGCATATTAATATATTCAATTAATCTCCCGTCAGTACATTTCAGTTACTAAATGCTATTGTGACATAGACTCACTAGCACTAACTCAGAATAATTGTTCCATATCATCCGTTTATTCATTACTATTTTAATTGTACTTCTTTTTTTCCACAAATGGGAAACAGCAAGCTTTCCCTCAACCTCTGGAAAAAAAGTCCCTTTGGCTTTGGAGGTGCAGAACTGTATTTACCAGTTGCAGACTATGTAGTCTGCCAGCCAGGGGCTGCAACACCACGCTCGGACTGTGTTTAGAGTAGTGAAGTATCGCAGGGCAGCACGCTTCTTACATCCTCACATGCTCTGATCCCTGAAATAGTCAGTGTTCCTTCGGACAGCCCCTGGTTAGACACGAGCTGCAGCCGCCTCGAGGAGTGACAGTGAGTTTCCTACGGCGCTTCTTTCCCCTCGGCTCCTTCACGTTGTACTTTGGGAACAGCAGTGCTGCTGCTCGTGCTTCCGTGTGTGAGATACCTTGTTCTACGCTCTTGCTGCAAACATCTGTGTGGTTGATGTTCTGGAGTGTTCTCACGATAGCAAACCAAATTCGGGGCGAACTTTTGCTAGTGGGAGTCACGTGATAAATATGTTGTCGGATATTTAATTGCAGTGATTAAAGGCTATCTGTCTGAACTGTACCTTGCGTGCGCCACCTCTGCACTTGACAGGACTGCGGGGACCACGGGGACTGCTCCAAAATTCAGTCTCTGCACATATATATATATATAAATATAATGTATAGCTGTAGTAAGGCCATGCCACGTGTTGACAGGAGCAATGAGCTATAGCAGGAGCTCCGAAAACACAGAGGGTGGAGGTGACACGGGCTCCCCACGTGTCCCTGGACTCTTGAGTGTTCTGTCCCAGTGTTCCTGCCCACCTGGCCATGGCTGTGTCCCCCGGGACACCCACGTCTGCCTGAAATATTCCCACCCTTACGGTCTGTGTGGTCATTCTCGCTTCTATGCCCCCGTGTTACCAAAGCGTCAGGATAAATAAAACCTGCAACAGCCGTCTTTTAGTGTCAGCAAGTCAGCTGTTCCTTTATATTTATTGGCCAGGGGCTGCGTGGCTGACAAAATTCCAGCATCCACACAGACACTGATACAGAACTATTTCACTTATTTATACGTTTTTAGTAAACAAAGACATTAATGTTCAGTGGTTCTGAATTACATCATGACCTTTCATTAATTAGTATTCTGTCATTTACTGGTTATTGATTTCTCACTTCTTATGCTAATTAGTCGATATTTTTAGTCTTATATCTTTCCCTCTAGCAGGGAGTTTCCAGTGCATATACTGAGATTTTATCTGGTAGTTTCGGTAGACTGCCCTTGTTATCCATAAGTTCTGCATCTAGGCGTCCAACATCACCAATCCCTCTTTCTCCTCCGGGCTTTGTCCATTGGACAGACCGGAATTAGCTGTCCCCACAAGAGTAGCTTACAACAACTTTGCTAAATAGTGGCGGAGAGTAATCTAAGAACAGCCCGCTATTTCTAATTTATATCCATGTAGGTGATGACGAATTAAAGCAATTAATTTACAAGGCAGTTAAACTCCACGTGCAGCTCTTGGACGTTGTACGCTGTCCGCGGCCGGGCAGGGCGCGCGGGCCCTTTAAGAGGCTCCCGTGCCCTCACGGCGGCGCCGGAAGTGGAAGCGGTGGCGGCCGCAGCAGAGGCGCCGTTGCGGCGACACCGGAGCGTGCCGGCGGGTCCCGAAGGGTCCCGGTGGATCCCGGTGCTACCGGCGGGGGCGGCGGCGGTTCCCCGCGCTCTCAGGGCCTCCCGAAGCGCTGGGCGCGGCCGGTCCCCGCGCTCCCTCCCCGCCGCCGGTGTCCAGGGACTCGGCGCCGTTGCTGAGGAGCCGGCCCGGCGCGGCCATGGTGAGGCTGCACGTCAAGCGCGGCGGCGAGAGCCAGTTCCTGCTGGAGGCGCCAGGCACCGCCCGCCTGGCCGAGCTGGCGCCGCTCGCTGCCCGCATCCACAACGGGCGGCTGAAGGTGCAGCGCCTGTGCTCAGGTACCGCCGGGGGCCGCGGGGGGCGGGCACTGCCTGAGGAACCGCCCCGGCCGCGGGAACGCACCGCCCCCGCGCTCCGCGCTACCGCTGCCGCACAGCGCCACCGTGTGTCAGTGCCCGGCTGTGCTGTGTTCGTGAGGGCACGGCGCTGAAAACTCCCGCTGCTGCGTGGCCCGGCGGTCGCTGCTTAAATCAGGGAATCTGGAAATCAAGACCTTAAAGCTCACGCAGTTCCACCCCCTGCCACGGGCCGGGACACCTTCCACTACCCCAGGTTGCTCCAAGCCCCGTCCTTGGAGCAACCTGGCCTTGGACACTGCCAGGGATCCAGGGGCGGCCGCAGCTTCTCTGGGCACCATGTGCCAGGGTCTCCGTACCCTCACGGGAGGCGTTTCTCCTCGGTGTCCCATCCAAGCCTGCCCCCGGGCGGTTTGAAGCCATTCCCCCTTGTCCTGTTACTCTAGGCCCTTGACCAAAGTCCTCCTTCAGGGCACTGCGAAGTGCTCCCTCGGGACCAGCAGTGTCCCGACGTGTGTGTGAGGTTATACTGGCCACCACCAGCACGGCCTGCCATGCAGTGGAGCCAGTGACATGTCTGAATTAGAGCCGAGTTCACTTCTGAGGCAGCTTTAAAAAGCGTTTCCCACCCCACGGTGGCGCTGTCAGAGCAGAGATTGCTGTCTGGTGAGCCTGACCTGGCCGTGCAGCCCACCCACACAGGGTGTCTGAGGCCATACTGACCCCGCTCTGAAATTTAAAAAATCTGACCAGGGAAATGCCAAAAGGAAAAGGTTTATGGCCACTAAGTACCATGAGGGTTTTCATCCCTGCAGGTGCCGTTAGTTACCTTGTTTTATGGGTATGTAAAATGTATACATTTCATCATAATTACACCATCCGGAGCTGTATGTGCGTGTTTGTATCCTTAGTTGTTTATTCCCTGTACCTAAAAAACTAAAAGCTAGGGGCGAGGTTTACCTGCATGTACGTCATTTGGAAAGCTTTTGTAAATGGACTATAGTAACAGAGACTCTTAATTTTGTTCTCTAAACACTCTAAAGAGATGGAGGAGCTGGCAGAGCATGGCATTTCCTTGCCTTACAATATGCAAGGACTGACAGATGAGCAGATCAAAGAGCTGAAGCTAAAGGATGAGTGGGCAGAAAAGTGTGTCCCAAGCGGTGGAAGCATCTTCAGGAAGGATGAAATGGGGCGAAGAAATGGATTTGGTAAGTGAAATAGCAATGCTTGTTTCTTTCCAGTCAGAAACCGGCAATCCATAATATTAGAGGGAACAACAAATCCCTCATTCTGGAATGGAATAGCCAAACTATAAGTTCCACACACAGGAGTTCTGTCTTGGGTTAGAATCCAGGGTAATGCTGATTAACAAGCCTGAGGAGCAGTGTCTCCCTTCAGCAAGTAAACAATCACCAGGAGCAAGTTTGACTGTTCCAGTTTCGTTTGCTCTCCCCACTTGTAAATGTACACTTCAGAACTGTTTTTTTTTTCCAGGGACTCCAAGATACATTAAGAGGTTGTTTTCCGAGTATTTCTCCTTTTTTCACATTGACTGGGACTCAGGTTCACTGAGGGTGTGGTTGTAAGCCTTGTGATATTGACCAGGTTAGAGTATTGAACAGTGTGTGTGTGCAAGCCAAACCAAGTGCCATCAAATGATGCACTCAGGTGGGACATGAGCTGGGAATGAGTAGGCTTTAGCTGGATTTTGTTTGGGAGGACAGGTTTTTTATAGCAATTAAAATAAATAACTGTGATATGAAATGAACTGTCTATTTGCAAAACTGCCTTCACTATAAGGTTGAGATTTTAATTAGAAAAGAAAAATCAGAAAACTGCAAGCTGTTATGCCCAGTTAAAGCATGTCTGCCAGTACAGCCCACAACAGTCCAGCAGGGAAGGAGCCTTGGTTTCTTTTAGAAGGTATGGGGTTATGGTTGTTGCTTTCTACTGGAGACCTTTGTCCCAAATGAAGTTCCAGATCGTAGAATCATGGAATCACAGAACAGCTTGGGTTGGAAAGGACCTTAAAGCTCATCCACTTCCACTCCCCTGCCATGGGCAAGGACACCTTCCACTGGACCACATTGCTCCAAGCCCCATCCCACCTGGCCTGGGACTCTTCCAGGGAATGGGGCAAATAGCACTCACATGTCTTTGGGAAAACTAAGTTTGTTCGTCCTGTGAAAAATACTGCTTGTTTCTGAAGGCAGTAAGAAATACAGGAGTGAGCTATCTAACTGGTAAGTAGGCTGCAGCTCAGTGGTGTTTCTCCTGTTGTATGATTTAATACAGTTTCATTTGCTCACAATGGAGTCTGGGCAGGATGTGTGCTTGTTTTCTTTAGAGTAAGCATAGACTATGAAATGTGTCTCTTACTTGTAGCTCCAAATGAAAAAATGCAGCAAGTTATAAAGAAGACAATAGAAGAAGCCAAGGCATTAATCTCTAAGGTGAGTTTCCCTAAGTGGTGCACGGGGCTTTCCTAGTAAGTGCTGTTGAGTTGGGCACCTTAAATAAAACAGTGCAAGGGCTGACAGTTGTTGAGAAATGCCATGAAGTAATGTGAATAGTCTAATAAAACCTGACATTTTGGTTAATGATTTTCTTTAAGGCTTTTGGCAAGTGGTTCAACAGGTTAAGGAATCAGATACTAAACTCAAAGGGAATACTGGCAGCAGTGCCCATGTAGAACGATTAAATCACGTTCAGTTTTATCCTTGCAATTTGCTATTGATGTATTCTTTGGGTGAATGCTTGTCGTGCTTTCTGGTGAAAGATTAACTGCGTTCTGTGCTGTTCTTGGAGTTAATGAAGCCGTTTGACTTTTATGTGTAATTGATTGAAAAACGTGTTCTAATCTCTTAGATTATCACAGAATCACGGATGGTTTGGTTTGAAAGGGGCCTTAAAGCTCATCCAGTCCCAGCCCACTGCCGTGGGCAGGGACACCTTCCACTAGACCAGGTTGCTCAGAGCCCAATGCGGCCTGGCCTCGAGCACTTCCAGGGATGGGGCAGGTGTTAGGCCTTGGTTTGACAAGCACTTGGACTCATGCTCAGTCCTGCTGAGTGTGTGTGTTCAAAGACAAGCACAAGGTTTGCCCTGGTGGGATGGTGCTCTCAGGCATTCAAATTCACATTGCCAGATCTGTAGGTGCTGCGTGCTGTGTTTCAGCTTTTGTATGACTTTGAAACACGAATTTAGTGATATTTAGAAATGGAGTAGAGGACAGTTGGGAAGTGGTTTGTTTGGTTCACCACTCGATAACGACAAACAAGAAGAAACGTGCCTGTGTGTTTGAGGCTGAACTCACCGGTTGACCAGATCGAGAACGTCCACAAGGGGGCAGCATTTCCTTCCTTTAGGACTTCAGAAAGTGTGAGCTCTGGGGAAGACGTTTATTTCTTTGCTTCTAGATGCGGATTTGAAATTACCTCAAGTACTTGGTCTTACAGATCTCTGCATGAGCTGTGCAGTTTGCCAAGCACACTTCCGCTCACATGTGCTCTATTTTTTTTCTCAACTTTTAAGACCCTTCTCTATCCCTCACTTGAATTTTGCTGGCTTGAATCATGTTCATGAATCAC